GGGTTGTGTTGAGTTGTGTTGGGTTGGGTCAGGTCGGGTTGGGTTGCATTGGTTGGGTTTGGCTGGGTCGGGTTGAGTTGGGTCGGGTCAGGTGAAGTTGGGTTGGATTTGGTTGGGTTGGGTTTGGTTGGGTCAGGTCAGGTTGGGTTGGTTTGGGTTTGGTTAGGTTGTGTTGGATTGCGTTGGGTTGAGTCAGGTCGGGTTGCGTTGGTTGGGTTGGGTTGGGTAAGGTCAGGTTGGGTTAGGTCGGGTTGGGTTGGGTCAGGTCAGGTCAGGTTGGGTTGCGTTGGGTTTGGTTAGGTTATCTGAATGGGATCCGTGCTCACGTACTACCTCAAGAGAACCAGTTCAGCACCATTGCGGCCATGCACCTGTCAACCACTGTGTACATTTATTCTTTCAAACCTTGGTCGTGTATTTTGGTTTATGTACATACTCAAAACAGTGGATGTGGTGTGTCAATCCCGCTAGGCTTTATGGCTCAATAACATCGGACCCTCGTGAGTAAAGTCCATAAGCTCTCCCACAACCATCTTATACTGTGTTTGTGGTTAGGAGACACCGTTTCCTCTTGAGTTGTGTCCGATACTGGCTTCCAAAGCTATGGCTGCATCTTTGTCCACAAGAGTCCATGCAATTATTGGCAGCTGACAAAGACCTGTAACTTGCACTGGACACAAGATTGGCAGGCAGTTTGACATTGTGTAATAATGGAAATGGCAAAATTATAATGCTGAGAGTAAGCAAGGCTCCGAAGTTGGCTTCGTTTTACAAGGCAGCCTCTTCGCACTGTGGTTTTCCTTTCACCAGTGCTTTTTTGTGGGCTGTGTATTCCTAGTGTGAAGAGAGCAGGGCTGTGCAAGGTAGATAGCCAGTTGATAAACCCTAACCTTCTTACATGTCAGGCAGTTGAGGAAATAGAAGCTTTTGTCAATTGATCGCACTCCATTTGTACAGGACAATGAGAAATGGGAGACCAATCGGATGCTGACCAGTGGAGTGGTGACCCGAGTTGACTTTGATGAAGACTTTGAAGAGGACAACGTGAAACGCACGCATTTGTTGGTCCACAACATTGTGCCACCATTTCTTGACGGACGCATCGTGTTCACCAAGCAACCAGAGCCCGTCGTCCCTGTCAGAGTAAGTTCAGTGTGATATGAGAATGCATTCAGCAATATCAGAGGCAAAAAAGGGATTTTTAGGGCAAAATAGGTTTTTGGGATAATCCTGGTTAAGTGTAGAGCTGAGTGATTCGAATGAAGCACGTTTGACTTTTTATTTTACTTGTTCATGGTAAACGGTAGATAACATTGATGAAAGACCATAATGTATTTTGCTGGCTTTTGGTATGGATTCCATGTGTAGACACAAGAGGGCGCTGTTTTGGCCAGTAACAAGGAGAGCTCCCATGGTTCTGGAAAATCCTGATAAATACTGGGAAAAAAGCTGTTCTGGAAAGTCATGGAAAATTGTGAGAAAATAGGGTGCCCTGGAACCCTGTTATCAGAGGAAAAGGTTATGGAAAAGTTATGTCCTGCAGCAACCGTCGCAACTTCATATTTATGTATTTATTCCTTTTCTCTCTCTTCTTCTGCACAGGATACGACCTCTGACCTGGCCCAGATTGCCAGGAAGGGGTCCCTGCTCGTCCGCAAGTACCGAGAGCAGAAAGAGAGAAAGAAAGCCCAGCACAAGGACTGGGAGCTGGCCGGGACTAAGCTCGGGAACCTCATCGGAATCGAGAAACAGGACGACAAGGTAAAGTTGCGGAGAAGGTGACCCTGTGAAAGCCTAGCCTTTGAGAGCTCTCATCTTGGTTAGTTCAAGGCTTAGGGGAGGTATTTCAACGATATGGCACTTATACTAAGAGCTCACTGGGCTATAGCAAGTTTGGTAACAAAATAGTGGAGAAACAAGATTATAAGGTAAAGAGAGAGAGGGGAACTTGTAGGCAATGATTTGGCCTTTGCACTGGAACGCCTACCATGAGCAAATTTTACAAACCTCTTTCGCTAAGAGAAACTTTGTAATGAGGCAAGGCAGGGAGAAAGAAAGCACTTGAATGTACAGCCTGGCCTTCAAGAGCTCTCAGCTGGGCCTAGTTCAAGGCTCAGTGCAGGTGTTCCAGTGATTTGGCCACTGTTCGCTGTGTTGATGTGTGAATGTAGACAGTGGTTTGTTTTGAATTGACCCTGCATTGTCTGTACAGAGACCAAGCTGGGAGTGCTAAAGTGTACCTATATTGGAAAGCTTAGTCTTTGCTCAAGCGTGCTACACTGAGTAACCTTGGAATGTTATTTTCATATTTGAGTGCTTAGTCTTTCCTCCAGCATGCCATAGTAACAAGGGAATGTCCAGTGTTGAATTGAATTGGAATTTATTGTCATCTGTAGAAATATACAATGAAATTCGTTGTGGTCTTGCAAGCAGTAAGATCTTATTACAATATGCTCGTAGAATTAAAATTAAAGATACATTTACTAAAATTAAAACCTTAAAAACTGATAAAATATTAAAACCTCACATTAACATGAATTACCGCACAAAGGTACAAATTTACATAAATAACCATAAAGCTAAGAATCAAAACTGAGATCACACCTGGTTATTCAATAAACGTACAGTGCTTGGATAAAAACTGATCAAGGTACGGTTGGAATCAGCTCGGATTGACCTACATCGTTTACCCGTTCTCATCATGCAGAATAAATCATTAGCTGGGTGAGATGTGTCTGCAATAATTGACTTTGCTTTTGTTTCTACACAAGCTTCATCAAGTTTTTCCAAAGCAGGTCGATCTCCACCAATTATATTGCTGGTAGTGTTAACATCATGACAGGTGTTTCCTGTCATCCACGGTACGGTTTCCATGGTACATTGTTCCCATATTTGAATGCCTAGCCTTTTCTCAAGCAGCAAATTCAGAAGCAGACTGCTGCAGTTGGTGACTTTGAAAACACTGCTTGTTCACTCTAGTAGTGCACAATGTTTCCCCGGGGACTAGACGTGAATAAACAAGGTTATTGAGTTTTGAGCAGTTCTTCATTTATCTTCCATTGTCTTTGATTGCTACGTCGTCTGTCCATTTCCAAGGGGTCGGAGGACGTCAACTACAAGTCACAGCAACAGTTTGCCGAGCACATGAAAGAGAAGACAGAGGCCGCCAGCGACTTTGCCATCAAAAAGTCGCTGAAGCAGCAGCGAGAGTACCTGCCCATCTACGCCATCAGAAACGAGCTGCTCAACATCATCAGGGACAACCCCGTCGTCGTGATTGTCGGGGAAACAGGATCTGGGAAGACGACACAACTTACGCAGGTAGCCATCATAATGGGTTTAGGATACAAGATCTGTACACTTTTATCACACTTAGTCATAGAAATCCAAAGTATTGCTATTGTTAATGGAGTCATTCATTAGTCCATGAGTTAATGTGATAGAATTGCTAGCAGAGACAATATTTGCTAACCTGAGTTGGTTACCAGCCAAAATGGCAACAGCGTCTTATTTGTGCAACTGGTTCCTCGCTATACATTTGCTTAACACATCAATTTGCCATTTCTGCTTAGCAGGTTTGTGCATACTTGCTGACTCCTCCCAAATAGATGCCATCTACTCACCCCTTGCAGTGTCCATAATTTACCTTGGAAGCTTATCATGACCTTGGTTACAAACTTGTACTCTGTTGCCAGTTGGTTTGGATTCTGATCTCAACCCCCCTCAAGAAAATGGAACGTGCTAAGCTGTTTGAATGCCATGGCACACTATGGCCACAGCGTCCAACTAACAGTCTGTAGAACTGTTTGCAGTTGATGTTTGAATTACAATAAATTTCTAAAATAGCAATAAAATGATTCACAGCACATGAAATTCCATTAAAGTAAAAATACATCAAAATAATTAATTTTCCATCCAATATAAGGCTACAAGTTGTGGCAGTTTGAATTTGATCCAACAGAATTTAAAAAAAAATCACCTTTGTCAACATTTTCCCCACAGTACTTGCATGAGGATGGTTACAGTAAGTATGGCATCATTGGCTGTACTCAGCCCAGGCGTGTGGCTGCCATGTCCGTGGCCAAGCGCGTCAGCGAAGAGATGGGTGTGGCTCTAGGGGAGGAGGTGGGATATGCCATCCGATTTGAAGACGTGACTTGTGAGGTAACGTCTGAACTTGAGTGCTGCTAAGTTTGCATTTCCTTGCCAGATTACAAATATTAACGTTGCACCAATCATTTTTAATGCCGCTTGTGCACATCAATTTGTACTTTTTTGTGACTTTTTTTTTGACTCGGTGCCTGACTTTTTCTTCACGTAAGTAGAGAAGAAGCACTTTCGTAGAATGTTGATTTTCGTGTCCATGTTTTGGAGGGAAGGTGTTAAGAGTTGGCAGAGTTTAAGTGGAATGGCTTAATAACTCTTAGATTGTTTCTGTTGTTGGATGTATATAACCCAGGCTTACAAAATCGCCCCAGCTAGGTTTGTGTATGGGACCTTTGAAAACAATCTCGCACACTGTAAATCACTAGGAATCCTCAACTTTGTTGACCCTCATTGTACCCCTTTTCATCACAATGCCAAACTGATTGACGCATCAAAATGAAGAGCTCCGTTTTCTCTTTCTAACGGAAACCGAAACCTAATTACTGACCAAAATGGCCTGAAGACTGACGTTGTGGGATCTGGTCTCTTGCACTATTCTCACATACTGCCACTGCTGCACTTCCACCACACTCACCTGTGCATTCGTAAACGTAGGGTGTGCATGCAACACCCTGTCCTCTCTGAGTAGAAACAAGAGGGTGTGCTTTTACATGATAATGACGGTCCTTTGGTAGGAGCTCACACCGTAGGCGCACAAGTTCATGTGCGTTTGGCGTGGGGCGCGTTGAGTACACTACAAATTTATGCCGGAATGTATGCTCTTCGTGTGTGTGCCAAATGCGTGCAGGAACCAGGTTGGAAAACTTCTTTCTTTGGCCAATGAGGGTGCACTTCAACTCAGGGCGGCTCGATCAAAGAAGTATTCAACGTGACGCTTGCCACTGCAGCAGTGATTTCCAATTTGGTCCCAGGATTACCCTCTCTCCATCTGGGTCTGAATTTCTTGGGCTAGTCTCCCGTCTTCTGTTTTTAATACAGGTCTATGACGTTATCTGTTGTTTGAATTACAGAAAACTATAATCAAGTACATGACTGACGGTATCCTGCTGAGAGAATCCCTACGCGAGTCAGACCTGGACCACTACAGCGCTATCATCATGGACGAGGCTCACGAACGCTCCCTGAACACCGATGTGCTGTTTGGACTACTCCGAGAGGTATGTGGAGCAGCCACCTTTGAAAGTTGTAGCATGAATTGCGGTGGACTTCTAATGGGCTTGTGTATGAACTGAAGAGGGTGCTCTTTACCTAAGAACAAGGGTGCTGTGCAGGAGGAGGTCACAAATGATATGAGGAGCTTGAAGTTTGTCCTTTTAACTTTCTTTAAAAGGTGGTTGCTAGGAGACAAGACATGAAGCTCATTGTCACATCAGCCACAATGGACTCGGACAAATTTGCGGCCTTCTTTGGAAATGTTCCCGTCTTTGAGGTTTGTGGTATCCATTTTTGTGATGTCTTGATTTCTTTGTTCTGGGGTTTGAAAGAAAAATAATGGAATTACAAACAGTCACACATGTGCAGTGTGTGCAGTACATGACGTTTTATTTGTAACTACTCTGTAATTTATCACAACGATCTTCTCTTGATAGTGGATAGATGTTTCCTTCTTATTTCTCACTTTGAATAGATTCCCGGTAGGACGTTTCCTGTCGACACCATGTTCAGCAAGACCGCGGTGGAGGATTACGTGGACGCGTCCGTCAAGCAAGCCATCCAGATCCACCTCCAGTCATCCCCCGGTGACATCCTGGTCTTCATGCCCGGCCAGGAGGACATTGAGGTCACCTGTGATGTCATCGCAGGTCAGCAGGGTCAATCCTAGTTTCCATGGCAACCGTTTCTCTTCCTTCTAGTTTCGATTTTTGTCGAAGATTTCTTTAACCCCCTACTGTTGACCCTCTACAGCCTTCAGTTCTATTCTGTCTAAAAACACTGTGCTTGAAAGCTCTGACAACCCTTGTTAATTTAACGAAGGAAACATCACCAACCATAGGAGGTTTAATTTTCAACAGCCGCCTTTCTTAAGTTTGACTTTGTTATCGTTGTGCTGGCTTACACTATATTTATAAAACTTCTTGAGTTTATTCTGGTTAAACAAGTTTTGGGGGTTTGAATTTCTCGTCTTCCATACCAAAACCAATGCGCCTAGAGCAGAAGCACCCTGTCATCGGTTGAAGAGAGCACGTTGATGGGGAGTGTTCATTTTGTTGGTAGCGATGCGATCGTAATGCTTGCATTTCATAGTCGTTTGTGAAGCAGTAAAGTGCCTTTCCCACCAAAGGAGCCTCTGTTGCTAGGAAAATTGCGCCCTCTCTTGGTTCCGCTCAGGGCCCGTAGCTGTGTACAAGGATTTACAATATCTAGGAACATTACTTCAATCTCATCTTTCCCTCCCGATTTAGAGAGACTAGGGGAGCTGGACAACGCCCCTCAGTTGGCCATCCTGCCCATCTACTCCCAGCTGCCATCAGACCTGCAAGCCAAGATCTTCCAGAAGGCCCCGGACGGCGTCCGCAAGTGCGTGGTGGCTACCAACATTGCCGAGACATCGCTGACAGGTGCGCTTGCCAATAGTGCATGTGATTGACCGACAAGGAAGCTTTTTAATGAAGTGATGGGTGCGCACCCACTAATATGTGTTTATCCATAGTTTTTAGGATTTGTTCTAACAATTGCTGTTGGATTGGAGCATATTCACTTCGTGAATCTCAATACGGAGTCCTTGAAAGGCCTTTAATTGCTCAATATTCATGCCAAGTTTGAGGGTTTGTCCTAGTCTTTATATCTTATGGAGTAGTGCTAAAATATCCCAGCTGCCTTAGCTGATGTCTTTCAGAACCTTCCGTATTTCTAAACAATCTCCATATTCTTCTCCCGTCTCTGGCCAGTTGATGGTATCATGTTTGTAGTGGACGCTGGCTACTGTAAGCTAAAGGTTTATAACCCACGGATCGGTATGGACGCCCTGCAGGTGTACCCCATCAGCCAGGCTAACGCCCGACAGAGATCAGGTAGAGCTGGAAGAACAGGACCAGGGTAAGCATTCTTCCAAAAACACCTCAGACGACCTTGAATATTTCTCTTTAAGTTGAATTATGGTAGTTGATTGTGAACGCGGCGCTCAGTTGCCTTCATCCTAACCACTTCGTTGCAGAGTTTATGTAAACCCTATCGTCTGTGATGGTTTCACGGGGAGCGTGTAAACGCATTCGGGCAATTTTTTTTTCACAGTAGTGAGTGACATGTAAACAAACACAAATGCTTCAGTGGTTCATATTAGTTTGATAGATGCACAGAGGGTCTGGCTAGTCCATGGAGGTTGACCGTGTGGTGCCTTGATTTGGTCAAGTGCCAGGACGATTCGTCACAGCTTACATTGCTTTGTTTAACTGTCTGCGATTGTAGAACACAAGTCTTATGCAAAGGACTCAGCGCTTGCAGGGTCTCAAGGAGACGTTAACATTTGTATCAGTCAAAAAGCTGATATTTTTGAACCAAAATAATACTACGGCTAGGGCGGGTTCAGTGTAAAATAATGCATCCTTCAAGTAGCGCCTTAGCCTATGGGTCATTCCATGAGGTTGGGGCACAATTTGTGACGGTATCCTTGTTACATGGGTAACTTTTACCGTCTGTCATGACCTGGAGAGTAGGTCATTTACTCTGTAAAAATAACACACACCTCTGTATTCAGCCTTACAAGATGTATAACAAAGTCAATGGAAATAGCCGTTCATTTATACGGAACCCACGTAACAATGGACACCGTCACAAATTGTACTCCAACCTCATGGAATGACCCCTCTATTGAACCAAACAAAAATCTACTTTTTTCTATTTTGCCCCCCATAGGCAGTGCTACAGACTCTACACGGAGCGAGCATACAAGAATGAACTGCTAGTTACCACGGTGCCAGAGATACAGAGAACCAACCTGGCCAATGTTGTGCTGCTGCTGAAGTCACTTGGAGTCCAGGACCTCTTGCAGTTCCATTTTATGGACCCACCCCCTCAAGTGAGAAACTCACAGTCCCTGATATGGTTACTCAATGAAAAAATGTTAAAGGTCTGTACTTACTTTTTAAATTGTGTCACAATCATGCATGGCTTGGAACACTCTTCAGAGACTAATTTACCAACCGCCATCAAAAATTCACATTTTGCTGGCAGATAAAAATGTTTGTGCAAAGCACAAAGTGAGAGAAGTTTTCTAAAAAGGGCTTCTATTTTGTTACTTTCAGGACAACATGCTCAACTCTATGTACCAGCTGTGGATCCTGGGAGCTCTAGACAACACGGGTTCCCTCACCCCTCTAGGAAGACAGATGGTGGAGTTCCCTCTCGACCCTGCCCTCTCCAAGATGCTGATTGTTGCCGTGGAGATGGGATGCAGTACTGAAGTCCTAGTAATTTCTCATTCATTGCCAAAAATAATTCTCACAGGCGGGACGGCCGATTTAGGGAGCAGCTAAGCTCTAACAATGATCTGAGTGCAAGTTGTGCTAAAATAAAATCAGGTTACCGGCTAAAATGCCATTTGCTGTAAATAGTGTGCAGCTGGTAGTCTGCTCATTCTTGCTTAGAATGTAATTATCTGAATCAATCTTCCAAGCAGCGCTGTGAACTTAAGCCTCTTCTCATGAAATGAGGATCAAAGTCAAAAGCATAATCAGAGAAGAGAGATCGATGCAGTTACTTAAGAGCAAATGGAGAAAGACCCAAATTAACTTCTGGTCCTGATTTCATGGAGCTAGAAACTTCATATTTATGTTGCTTAGCGGAACTCCTCCGAGTACCAGTGACAAACACGGTAGACAGCATGGCATCTTATATTTGTTGTGCCTGTTTCAGTGGTCAGTAGCTCTTCTAAGCAGCATTTTTACCTTGACTTTCTTAAATCCACAGAAATAACCTTATTTTAATAAATATTCCAGTTGTTCCTCATTTCTTGTTTCACTCCTGACTTGAGGTTTCTTATTCCTACCCCTAGACCATAGTGTCCATGCTGTCCATCCCTTCAATCTTCTACCGGCCAAAGGGCAGGGAAGAAGAGAGTGACCAGGCCAGAGAGAAGTTTGCCGTGCCCGAGAGTGACCATCTGACCTACCTCAATGTCTACCAGCAGTGGAAAAACAACCAGTAAGATCTGACGTGTAATTTGTAGGCCACATCGAAGTTGGCCATCTCGTAGTTACAGCGTAAAGGCCTGCTCACACTTGGCTCAAAAGCGAACACAAGTGAGAAGTTGTGACGTCAGATCAAATCGTCGCGCTGCAAATTTACAACAGTTTTTCATCTCAACTCAAGCAAAATTCTGCAACAAATCTTTCGTGACTTCAAATTCACTTCACTTTCACATTTGCCTGAAGTATGAACCGGCCTTTATGCTGAATTTTGCCTGAGTATTGTAAATTTGTTGAGCAATATTAACTTGAACGAGGACCCTGTGAATAGCAGCAAATTCAATGTCTGTGTCCTCGTCTTTTCTCTTGCACAGAAGGTTTTTATGTCAACTGAATTTTTTTTTCCCATCAGTTATTCATCAATATGGGGCAATGAACATTTTATCCACGTCAAAGCGATGCGCAAAGTACGCGAGGTGCGCCAGCAGCTGAAGGACATCATGGAACAACAGGGACTGAATTTGGTATCCTGCGGCACCGCCTGGGATATTGTGCGCAAGTGTATCTGCTCAGCCTTCTTTCACCAGGGCGCCAGACTGAAGGTGGGCTGTGATGTGCCATTCACCGAGCATTTCTCTCAATTCACCGATTTACCTTGAAAGTACCGTAGTTTTTCTAATTATATAAGTGGTTGAACAAGTAAAAAAATTGACTGGCACAGAATTTGAGCCTGTAACTTTTCGAACAACCGCATCAGCGCTGACTGAGATTGTTCTGAACTTGTCCATAGTTGCATTGACCCTCTCCTAGTCGGTTTGCCTTTGTGGCCGCTGATGGCTCTCCTGAGTCAAAGTGGTGTCAATATTGGCAACGCTACGAACTAGAAAAAAAGATAGGTGTGATCCTCTCAGAGGATGCAGATTATTTGATTTGATCGCCATAGAAACACCAGTGGGCAACTGGCTGGTTCACTTTAGATCAAGATTTGGTTGAACATGAATTGATTGGGTTGAGACTGAAAATCCGAGGCCAGGAACAACGGCATCATGCACATTGAATTACATAATGCAACTTCTGTTTGTGGCCCAAGTCAAGTTGCTCAAACCAGAATCTTGTACAAATTGTAAATCAATTGGAGCTTGCAACGTTTTACACCTGCATTAAAGTCCATTTTCATTAAAATGACTGACTACATCAACACAAAGGGCTCAGTTTTTCAGACACAGTCTCATTGTTTCATCCACGGCAGGGTATCGGCGAGTATGTGAATATTCGCACAGGCATGCCGTGCCATCTTCACCCGACTAGTGCCCTCTTTGGGATGGGTTTCACCCCAGAGTACATCATCTACCACGAACTGGTCATGACATCAAAGGTAAAGATTACATAAGAGGTTATTTAAAGGGTGATGCTTCTTCAGTTGTTGCTGTGAGGTCAGATTTATAGACCTGCTCAGGACAGAAATTAGTAGCATGGAAACAAGTTGCTCGGAAAATGAAAGGTTACCGTTCTAAATGCCGTGTAATCTCTATGTCTTGAGACAGGTTACCAACTGATTTCCGTGCCACCCCTGAAATTGCTAAGCGTTATTTCAGCAATAGCATGTGCTTAACATGAAATCTGGCGGAGATCTTCCTAATTCTCCTCGTAAAGTTAACGTCCTGCTACTGATTTGAAATCTTCAATCTGCATCTACCAGACTTGAGCACAGTACACCGGTGCCAGCAGATGAAGTAATGAACGGTGTCCGTGTGACATACACGGCAGTGTTACTTGTTGTTTGTCTTCTGCCCATCACAGGAGTACATGCAGTGTGTGACGGCTGTAGAGGGAGAGTGGCTTGCCGAGTTGGGTCCCATGTTCTACAGCGTCAAGGAGGCTGGCAAATCCAGACAGGTATGGCTGAAACAACTTTCCCGGTATCATTGACGTGACTGTGTGTCAATGAAGGACAAATGGTTCACTGTAATGGTAAGATAAGGATTATTAAACTTCCCCACCCCACTCCAAAAGATGCGGCAGTCTTGAAGTGGTCAGTAAAGTTTTCAGTTTTTTTTAAAGTGTCAGCACATGTTGAGTTCTAATGCTGTGAAATCTAGTGCTTCAGCCCTAACCCTAAAGCATATTTGCCAGCAATCTTTACCAATCTTCCAAAGTCACTGTGCAGGAACTTGATGGTATAATAATCTTGGCTCTCTTCGCTCTCTCAAGGGGTGTCAAGCTCTATGTGAATGCCTAGTCCTACAAACACCTCCCAAACCACCTGATGGATTTTGATAGATGTGGGAGGGTTGGGGGTGTTCATGTGCATTGAGCCGGAACCAATCATGTATAGTCCCATTGACTTTTCCTGACTGGCGTTGTGTTGCAGGCCAATCGTCAGATGGCCAAGGCCAACTTAACAGCCATGGAGGAAGAGATGCAGCTGGCCACTGAAGAGTTGAAGGCCAGAAAAGAACACGAGGAACAGAAGAGAGTGACGTCCATTAGAAGGTAAGACTTGCATTTAGCACTAGCCCTTCTACGAACAAGAAAAGGTTTTAGGGAATGTTTCCTCAAAATGAAATGTGAAATGCACGGTTCCCCAGTTTTATGTGAAATGCGTAAGTTGATTTTCCTGAAAACTGCCAAATTTGCTATTTTTCACTTTTATCTGTGTCAATGGTATTTCTAATTTTATTGTAGGTTACAAATTTCCACTCCAGGAAGGAAAGAGCCCAAAACTCCAGCATCTGTGCGAAGGAAAACGCCCTCATCCTTTGGTCTCTGAGAACACTGTCCGAGGAGACAGCCAGCACATGCTCACATTCTGGTTCCTACAAGAAGATTCCTCCAAGCATTGAACTTAGCTTTCAGCTCATCTGTGAAATAAACTCCAAGTATATTCTCTGGCTTCTGTCTTTCGGAACCACTCCCCACTCTTAGAAATTGTCCCGTGGTGTCATTGCAAACTGATATCAATGAACATGCAGCCCCCCAGAATAAGAATTCTGTGGTTCTCCCCTAGAACCAAACCAGCCTTCCGGTTCCTTGCAGGAACTGAAGTATTTCCTCCGTGATTTGGTTTTAATGCATCTCTGCAAACCAACAACAGTACTCCATCACACAAAGCCTACAGAAATTACAGTGAAACAGGTCATCTGCTATCCACATTCTTCTGTTTTTAATACAAGAATTACATAAACTACACTGTGCTCGTCTTTCTACATGGCTGACTTATACCTTGAAATGTGCAACTACTTTGGCCTAACTTCCCGAACAATCTCTCCTACTGCTGTATGGCTACCAGGTAGTCACTATGACTATGCTAATAACGTACGACGCTACAATCCCCCTTATTTACAACAGGGCTCGAGTCAAGTCCATCCCGAGACAAGTTAGAAATTCTGTCACAATTCCAGTCGGAAACTACTCGGGTGAAGGAGTGCTTGTTTCACAGCTCATTTGAATAGCCAGTTGCTTGGCTCAAAACTACATGACTTGTGAGGGGACTTGTGTGATGAGCTAGACTACAGCCCAAATACACTGTGCTCTGTAATGGAGGTACCTAGAATGGTTGTCTTTTAACAATTTGTGTGTAATGTACAAAGGATTTGAAGTAAAATAGAGGAAATAAAAGGGTATTGAATCCACACCATCACTAAATTTACAGTCCATCCGACGTCCTTACAAAACTGAACCCCACCTCCACAAAAAAGTGCAAACTGAACTACTGAACCTGTCAAAATCCAGCACCAGGTTTTGATAGATTTAGGCCTTGTAGTACGTACTACTGCTTTATTGCAGAGTTGGATTTTAAGGGGTTTAGGAAAATATGCTCAAGGCATTAATGCCAATATACATGTAATTCTGAAATATTGCATCTTTTTTTTTTTAATTAATAAAACTGGCTTTGTTACAGCCCGATGACAGGACAGTTATTCTGTGATTGGTATCACTATTGCCATCAGCAACCTGATTGGCTCAGTGATCAATGGTTTCTTTGTTTTGACCAACCAAATTAGAGATAACACCCTTTTATTGTGACTTTTTACATCAAACTTGCCTTGGATACAAGCCCCTTGTAATAAGGTTTGGTGTAAAAATTTAAGCTGAGGAAAATGAATAACAAGTATCCAAAAGGTGCTGAATTATTTTTCGTGCATTTTTTTGTTATTCCAACCTTTATAGTATATAAAATTTTGAGGGTGTCCAATCACGAGTGATTTTGTAAAAGTTACTTTTTTGAATAAATATGAACGTCTCAGACTTCAAACTTGGGTTTGAAGTTCCATATTTTTTTCTGGATTAAAAACGGTTGTCAATTTGAAGAACAATTTACCAATAAATGAGGCAACATGCATAGCACTGATTAATGTATAGTTAACCTTGCTAAAAAATATTGGGTTCTACATGATTTTAGCGTACAAATCCAAGCCAAAACAATATTTTCAATATTTTATTTGGTGGTTTCACTGAACCGAGATTGTAGGAGGGATGCTGACATTTTGAAATGTATGTAACCAACGTGAAAGCTGCAGTTTTGTCAGCTTTTGGTGCTCCCCTGAAAAAATGTGTACCCTCGGGTTCCCCCCCTACAATTAACCCTTACGCCACATGATCTATTGGCTGGAGGAGTCACTCCCAATGTGTAAAAAAGGCATAGGTATACCGACTTCAGCACCAGTCTCAACATTGCTAGTTTGCTTGTAAAGTGTGTAGATGAATCCACTGACAGATCACCGGACACCCCCGAAGGCCCCCTAAAATGGTGGAAAGTAATGGCTGGATTTTGTAGAGAGTGACCATCATGAAACACTAGTTCTATCAAATTGCTGTCAAATTGCTTACTGCCATTTAAGGGTGCTATGGCAAATAACCAGAAATAGCATTACCACGGTCACTGGAACTGCTTATACCATAGAGCTAGTACCAGGCAGGTGGGGCCGTGTCCAAATCAACAGGCTATGGCTTAGAGTAATACACACCCCTATAGGAAGTAGCTGTAGCCATTAGCTGTTCCCTTCCAGAGGTGCACTTATTATTTCCAGCCATACCCACAACTTTTGGAAACAGCTCAAGTGTCCTTTCTTGCAGTGAGTCTCTGTGCATAAATCACATTGGCCAATTTTTGCCCAGCTCTTTGGCTAAGAGATAAGTGACAAAAGATGCCATATTTTCTGGATTTCAAGAAATTTAACCCTTCTTTATTTTACGTGTAACTATCAATTCATGTAACTACATACATTATACCCTCCTTGCTTTTCACGAGAGTATGCCACACATCACTGTTTTCACATAAAACTAAACCAATTCCACTCCATGGAAGAGCATTCTAAAGCACATACATTGATATAAAACCAGCGGAAATAAAAACTCTTGCCTGTACTTCCATTTTTCAGTCTGACAATAAAATCTACTGCATAAAGTACTTCCACATGGTCTGCATATCAATGCTCTACCAGACAGGTCAGGGTTTGCTTAAAGGACTGTTTAGTGTGGTAATTGAAAAAAAGAAAAATACATCTTGAAAAAAATACATCTTGAAAAAAAGAAGATGGACACTGTAAAAGTTAATTACTGTGGTAAAAAGATCTTGGAGATGATGCCAGAGACTGGTGAGGAGTTGAGGATGGCAATGTAGAAGTGGGAGGTTTAAGTCAAAGGTCGGAGTGGTGTGACAGGGTAATAACTTAAGATTAAAGTGGAGACAAAGTACGTGTGGCAGGGAGAGAAGCAATTGCTAGTATTGAAGGTGAAGATTAAAAACTTGTGGTGATAAATGCTGAAGATGGTGAACGTGGAACTACAAATGTGGTCCAAAACGTGTCACATGATATAAATAGTAAAAACTACATTATTTACACTTGCCTACCGACAAAATAAGCAATACTTCAAAAAGCACTGGTTAATCCTCTCAGTAGCCCAGTCCATATTTCTGTTAAATTACACACACGCTATAAACCTGACTTCCAAAAATAAAATTTAGCAAACAAAATGTAATACATCACACATGGTTACTGCCATGATTCAGATTGTGGAGTTGACCCAGTGGTTAATTTGAAGGTTTTGTGGCATAGAGGTTTTGTGAGCACAGTGTCTACACTTTTATGATGCAATGCAAACATTGGCTAGAAAGTTTGAACAATTTTATAACTCACTGTCGCAATGACTGGGTGCCAGCCTGTGACCAAACAATGCAAAATTTGTAAAGAATGATCTTTGTGACTCAGTGCTGGAGTACTCTAACCCGAGTGCAACTCGAGTACCAATAAGTACTTGGCTAGTACTCGATCATAAGTACTCAATAAAGTACTCATAATTTTGTACTCCAACTCGTCCCTAAACTCGGCAAATTGTACTCGGTTAACTCAATCCCAGTCATGCACTACTCAAAAGAAATTGGGATTTTTTTCGATTCAATTTTTTTCAATAAACTTTGATCAAGAATTTCACATAGTGTGAGCTGAACGTTACAAGACACACAGTATTTTTATTGACTCAAAATTGAGATTTCGTGAATGGGTGTTGGCACTTGGCAGTGCTCCCAGTATCATTAGTGTTCCATGTTTTAGTTTTACAATGTACTAGGATGTACTCGATTATCTTTGTACTCATACTCAGCCCGTACTCTGACGCTGAAAAACTCGAACTCAGATTTTTGGCCCAGGACTCAATTAAAAAGCACTCAGACTTGGCCCATACTCGGCACTGTGTGTGCTTGGAAAACTCAGTACTCAAGTTTTGGTACTCAACTACATCACTGTTGTGACTGAATCCAAAGATTTGTAAGTACATATTTCAGACACTCTTTTGTTACCATCCAGCAGGAAAAAAAGGTTCTTCATTTGGATGAATCACTCAGTTTGATAACTGAAACACATTGGCCATGATTGGTCGATCTCCTTGAACATTTTTTCCAAGATTTGTTGACAATTCTACCGTAAGCCAATTGGCTTTTCAATCCAATTCACAGTTGTCAAACAGGAAAGTGTAAAGCTGCAATTTCATGCAGGACTGACCAACCAGGCAAAGCTACAGGATGATCATGCTGATTATGCTGATCATGCTGATTTGCCGACTGCGCCTAAAACACACGCGCACGGCCATTAAGTGGGTTAACAATACTGATAATTCCTGTCACTACAAAAGATTGGCTCACAGGCCTACAACTCAAAAGTAGCTCTGATGAATGACTTGTGACTCATTTTGACAATGGATGCTGACAAATCAAGTACAAGATCGCTATCATGCCAACGTCCAAATTAAAAAAGATGTACATGTAGCAAATGGAAGTCAGTCCTCTCTACTTGCACACCAATTTGGTTAGTCATAAACTAATCTACATGTAAGTACAGTCAGATATACTAAGCTGGCTTAAGTTTCTACTATTCCACTGTCACTTCGAGCTCTGCAGTTTTGTCAATGTTTCAGAGTTGAACCAACTCTTCTTTTTTCTTTTTTTCCCCAATAGGGGAATAATAGTAATAAAAACATTTATCTGTACAACAAGACGTATTTGATTGTTAAATTTTACATACATAGTACTGAAGACTTTAAAGTTGTTAACTGTCAAACTATTGCTGAAGAGAGACTACGCCTATGTTAACATCATGCTTAGCATGGCGGGGGGGAGGGCAGGAGGAAGTGGAGAAGTGTACAGAGAGTGAAATTCCGACCGGAGAAAGCGCCGTACTAGCGGGGAATGGTGGGCGGATGGAGTTCCTTCATCTCAAAATATTGCACCACCTGCTTGGGCACCTCGGCCAAGACGCACTTGGTCAACTTGGCTGGTGTTGCCTAAAAACCAGGAAAGTAAAAAAGTTGATCTATGTGGAAAATAATAGAGGTACGGTCTCGAGTACTCTTTGAGCATTCTGTATCAAAATCTTCCTTCCATCACTAACCTCATTTCAATACTGTCTAATGTCTGAGGAGTCAGGTTGGCACCTTGGCACTAATACCATAGCAAACTACGTGCTTGTCTTTGTGCACATCTGGCATGCCAGTGATTTTTCATGTTGGCACATGGGCGACAGGTGCAGGGGACCACTGGCATTTGAGTGGTACATGTACCCCAACCTCTCCATTTGTCATCAATGAGGGTGAAACTGTCTGAAGCTGTATAGGCTATTTCTCAACCTAATAGCTCAAATCTAAACACCGGGCAGCTGAAGAGATTTGGAGGGCCATAGTAGCTGTGTAATGACAGTGATATTTGATATTATCCATTGAACCTCATAGGAAAGCATGCATGTAAACAAGGCGTGGTGTGACTATGTTTTATTCAAAGTGTCATTGTGCAGGGTTCCAAGGGTCTAAACAGAGTATATGGCCGAGAGTCGCGTAGCAGGGAAGGTCTGATTGCTTGCTCTCAGTTTTCCAATCCTGAGGATGGAAGGATTTTGAAAGGTACAGTATACTCCATGGAGACCAGAAAGAGTGTAAAGGGTTTTGCCACATGGGCCCAGACTCCATTGACAAATTTGAAGAAGCAAACTGTAACAAGCCAAAACTGTAACAAGCCAAATGTCTACGTGAAACAAATCAGACACCAAGGCCCAGCAAAAATTTGCAATTTCCAACAAGCACGAACAGAGGCCAATTCTTGCTTCGTAAAAACAGGTTACCCACCAAAAAGACACACGCTGCACATTGCCTGTGACCGGATGCCATCGTCGGCCTAGCAGAAGGGGGGGGGGTGTTTCAATATCACCTCACCTGCTTAAAGTCCCTGAACGGTACAAACTGCACAATGTCCCTGCATACCGGTTCCCCACTGGGCGATCTCAGCACCCCGTCGTCCCCATCCAGCATGCGCATGTCGGAGAAGTCAGCATTGCCCACCCCGACGATAATGATAGACATCGGGAGCTTGGAGGCAGCCACGATAGCATCCCGCGTCTCATACATGTCAGTGATGACGCCGTCCGTAAGGAGGAGAAGGATGAAGTATTGCTGTTGAAGGTACAAACCGGGAAATGAACATATTGAAATTGTCCCACGGTATGCGGATTTACAATGCACTTTTGGCTGGTTCGTCAACCTGATAAGAGTGGCACATGGTTCACTAAAACTAGCTGGCATATTAGTTTTAAGACTCTACAAGAATGGGGGGGGGGCCACAGTGGCACACGCCCAATGCTAAGGCCCGTGCCCCTCTGTGAGCCTACCTTCCACTCTGCCTCGGTCAGTGTTTTAACTATGACAGCTCTCACTGACTGTCCCCCTCTCGAAAATGAGGGCCCCCAAGTGCCCCCCTGTAAAATGTTCCCCACTTTCGCCACTGTGGAAAGACCATCACATGGCCATACCAAAGCATCCCTCTTTCAAGCCACACCACATGCTCAACTAAACTGTGAACAGTGCATTCCCTTGCAATTTATTTATTTTGCTTCTTCGAATTGGACTTGTAAGTGACCTTGTGATCGAGCCAAGGAAAGCCCTGATGAATATGCATCAGTCTACACTGGGCATGTGCCAAGTTGGCACACACGCAACATTTTCCCAATGGTGTCTGGTCGGTCAGAAGTCTTCGAGAATTTTAGGTCATTTCCTGCTGAAATGATGACCAGTTGTAGTCAAAAATGTTGGATCAAACCTGCCATTGACTGACTTTTTCTTTGCAGAAAGGGGTTACAAGCCAAGATCTAATGGCTCACCGAGGCCTTGTTATCCTGATTGGCCATCCTCGCGAACTTAGCCACGTGGTTGATGATCGGCGCGACATTTGTCGGTCCCCACAATGTGATCTGTCTAAGACAGTTCTGGTAAGCAGCCACTATCCCTCCAACTCCTAGAGCACAAAGGTACGTGAGTAATTCCTGTTCCCTATCAATGATATTCTTAGGACCCCATTTATAGAGAGGGTGCTATGGACCCGCCCACCCTTCAAAAAATTTCTAAAAGAAAAGGGAAGACTCAAATGTTAATCTATTTCCTGAATAAAGGTATTTCATTTCTCTCAGACAAAGTTTGAATAAAGCAAATTTATGCAATTTTAACACTTGTTCCCATTTTTTTTTTTAATCTAAAGAATTAGAGGGCCTGAGATTTTGATAACAGGAGAATTTCTCAAAGGAGAAATGATGCCCTTGCTTACTCAAAATTGTCATAGTTAAATTATCAAGTCCCAAACATATCAAATCCTTCTGACAATTGAATCTTAAAATAAGCCATAACAATTGTTTTAAACAAGAATTCGGTCTAAAATCTGTTTCATTCCTTTTGAAATGGAGGGGAGTTTTTGCAGCTTTTAAAAAAAAGTCCCTGTTTTATGGCCTGTTTTCAAGGACTGCATCTTTCTGCGATCAGCCCAATTCTATCAGAATCATTGATCTCACCTGCGCAGTATGGATTTGAAAGGTCAAAGTTGATGGCAAACTCGTGTGACACTTGTTGGTTGGGAGGAATTTTGGCTCCGAAGCCTAGGGCTGGGAACATTTTATCACTGCGGGCAAAAAAGAAAAAAAAGGATGTTTTTCAGGCATACATGTAGATGTAGACTTTCTGTTGTCTTGATTACATGCTGCTTCTCCATCACAAACTGCTTGCCAACCGACTGATGATCAACGGCGTATCTAGTTTTTGGTATCAGGGGCAACATATTCAAAAGTGAATGCAGCTCAGAGCTTATTCAACATGATGATGGGGGAAAAAAAATATCAAAAGCCCTATTCGCGGTCCTGACATCCTTGTTTTCATTTTATGGTGTTGCTTTCTTTAGATTTTGGTGCTAATATTTGATAAATAAATGTATCGATTACCTTCTTACCTATGAAGAATTCTTTGTCAAAAACAAACAACCAAAAAAGGGGGGCAAATTCCCTGCCCCCTCCAATGAAATTCTAAGAAATACTTCAAATATTTACCCACAATAGGCTTCAGCGCTTAGACACAATTTATTCTAATTTTTTCTTATTAAGCATATTAATTTTCTGCCACAAACCAGTGGTGTGTGTTTGATTTTCTGTCTAGCCACTTATCTGTCATACCTATCATAGTCTTGTATGACATCCCCCACAGCCACTATTGCCTTGGTGTATTCGTTGGGTGCTGTGGGATCAATGTAATGGAGAGAGGCTGGCTCATGGGGATCGCCGTTTGATCCTGTGAAGTCTATACCAACCTACGGAGAAACAGACATGAAATGCCACACTAGTTGCCTTTAAACAAGATGTCAAAGGAAATGGTGCCTCGCAAACGATCCCTTCCAAGCTGCAGAACCGGTTTAATAATATTTGCAATAAAAAATAAGAGACCACTTTTACTGAGAGCAGAGCCACCTATATGGAGGAGAGAGTTGTGACATGAGTGTCACCACTGTTGGAAACAAGATGGCAGAAATATGCATCAGTGCACACATCAGTTGGTACACAATGACTGAATGCTCTATTGTACACAGAAAGGAATAACTCACTGTGAAGTTGATTTGACAACCACCTAAAATGTAGTCCAGGAAGGTGTACTGTCTCTTAACCTGGGTGACGAAGCAGAAAAAACACAAAAAGGTCTGTCATAATATCCCACTATGTCAGAAAAACAAATCTGCCGAAAGGATTGGAACCTCTTATTACAAACTGTAGCCTTGAATTCCTGCATATTCACACAGGTAGCAGCAAGTCATTTTTTGCAAGTCAGTCAAGTCAAGAGTCATTATATGCAAGTCCAAGTCAAGTCACAAGTCATTAGGTCCAGTCACAAGTCAAGTCACAAGTCATTATATGCCATTCCAAGTCAAGTCACAAGTCATTAGGTCCAGTCACAAGTCAAGTCCCAAGTCATTAAGTCACATGGCAAGTCAAGTCACAAGTCATTTGGTCTAAACACAAGTCAAGTCACAAGTCTCTTTATCCAAGTACAAGTCCAGCTGCACATTCTTTTGTCCAGCTGTAATAAGCAAAAAGAACCCGGCGTCAACTTACAAAGTTACGAGTTATAAAAATATATGGGGCAGGTCGAGTAGGGTCTGACTTGGGTTGGTAACAAGTCATTTTTTGCAAGTCCAAGTCAAGTCACAAGTCAAAGCTGGTATTTACAAGTCAAGTAACAAGTCACAAAAATAGTGACTCAAGTCCGACTTGAGTCCAAGTCACATGACTCGAGTCAGCAACTCTAGATATTTAGGATACACACACTTTCAAGACTGAGTAAATGTTAGACGCCCATATTTCTGAAATCTTTTGTTTTGCAAAAATATAACATCTGGAAATTTCTATGAGCTGTGTTCTCTGAATACCTCCACTCCATCATTTACATCCAAAAAACTGCCGACAGTAAGCTGTATGTATTGCCCACAGTCTACACAATATATACAAACTGAGTAAACAGACTGAAGGATAAAAGATACAATAACACCAGGCATAATCACAACATCCACTAGCCATAATTAAGTAGTTTCACCGCAGGGTTACGGGCAAAACGGAAACGGAACGGCCACGGGCCAGAGCGAGCGATCAAAATGACCAGGTCGATAACTCGCCGCGAGGCCATTTGATGCCCGAAAGAAATTACAAGACTCTAAAATTCAGCATATGTGGATCGGTGTTGAAGGGTATAATGGGCTGGGACGTTGTTCGATTAAAAGTGATGCCAAGTTGAGGAGGGGAAGAGGGTTGTAAAAGGGATTGAGATGAATTCTGCAAATTACTTGGGGGGTCAAGGGAATACCACACCACTTGAGATTGCTTTTCATCTCATAAAGAAATGTTTAAGAACAGAGAAGTATCTCTCTGTCATTGTAATTGATAGATTAGGATAGCAAGAATTCAAATAAGGAATATATGGCTGGCTGCCAAACCAAAGGGCTCAAATTTATTTGGAGTGCACGATGATTTTGATGGCAGCAAGCTGTTTCAGCACCGAGTTCTTTTTTGAGAGACTTGTTTTTTTTAGCACAAAGTCACAGATGAAAGTCTTGATATTGCCTAGCAAAGCACTATTCAAGAGACATTCATGTCAATTTTGGCCCCGCTGATACACTGGAGCTAAGCATTTTAGTGGTAAAAAAAACCATAAATAAATGGTGTTTCAGAAATAATTCTTCTGGGGTTAAGAAATGTATCCCAACCACAATGTGACCCCCTCCCCTTAAAAAAACTCTGTGACAGTGAAAAATGGCTCTGTGAATGAATTTCAGAACTAATCAGACCAGTATTGCATTTCTACATTTAACGTAAAAAGAAAGGACACCGAGTATTAGCATTTGCAGGAAAAACGTTCTTTTGTTATATTATACTAATTTCTCTGATGATTCCAAAGTTAATATGATTTCTAGATCTGCCTAAGAACAGCAACTTTTTGAAGTTATCTACATGCATTTTCAAGCACATGTTGAAGAATATTTCTTTCTTACACATGGTCAATTTGTTTTCTTACTTGTATGTGGATTTTTGTTTAAGTTAGGGCATTCAACCTTACAGCTGCCTGAAAATTTTTTGTACTAATTAGTTAAATTATCACTTCATTGATATGCAATAAACACGAACACAAGCAAGTTGACCTTGTTGCAAAATGGGGCCCCAAACTGTCAAACTTAACACTTCCTTCCACCGTCACGACGACACTGAATGGTGAGACTCCTGTTGTGATTGGTTCACAGCTCGAATCAAGCAGGTGAACTCAGACAGAGATGGAGTTTGAAATAAAAAAGCAGAATAAAAAAACACAATTTAATTCATTGAAATTTTACGAAGGGCCGTTGCGATCCAAACTGACAAGCAGGTAACAGTGACTCTGCTTTTTTAATTAAGTATTGATTTGCGGGCAAACTGCTTGCCCCACGAAGATGAAAATTAAGGTCAACTTGCTCCAATAGAGGGGGAAAATACGGGTATTATTTTGCATCGGTGACCGGTGCAAGTTTACTCAACCTTGTGCAAGGGAGAAACAGCAACACTCACGATTAATTAGGTCAGTTCTGTCTGGATTGAAAAAAAAAAGCCAAAAGAAATAGTGACTAGTGTGTTCAACCTCGTGTCTGTTTTCCTTAACAAAATAATTTTTTAAAGACAGTTTAATGCAAAAATTTTGATTAACAGAGGGTCCTTTTTTTCTTATTTTGATGCTAATTCCAGGTTTTGAATGTGCCACAGCCTAACACAGTCTCAAACTGTCTCAACTCCTTTCGAATTAACGGCCATAACACAAAACTCTCACAACTGATTCAGTAGAAACCGTTAACATTCCATTCCCATGATGTTGTAACGTCATTTATTGGATGCCAAAATCAAAGAACATAAACAACCTGAAAGTAATCTCTCTTACAGCATTTACAAAACAAACTGGGGGATACCTTCAGACTCCTTTTGCTGGATTGCCTCACAAACCCTGACAAATTAGTTCCATGGAGAGGTTGAGCAGGGGCATTGTCCAAGGCGTAATTTCCCAGTGTGGTTTAGTGGAAAATACTGCTTAGAAACTATATGTGCTAAGCAGAAGGCAGTGACCAAGGTATGCAGTGCATGGCATTTTGGCTAGTTACCTACTTTTGTTAAACATTTTCTTTGCTAAGCAAATACCATTGCTTAGCAGTTCAATGCAATTGGCCTCGGGAGACTAACCCCCCCCCAAAAAAAGAGCGCATTGGAAAGGATCTTGTTCTCGATGATGGGATATATTCTAGTCAAGTTAGCATAGTGTTCATACTTCTAAGCTTTTCAATTCACAAGTGCTTTTTTGACATTTACCAAATAGACCAGAGCCTTACAATCGGCTATTCCAAGAATTAAGGAACACTATATTACAGAATGGAAAGTTTAGCTGGAAATTTTTCGAGTCGAAAAAATGTAACATTTCAGCATGGGCAATATTTAAAGGGATAAAGAAGACAAACGTATACAGCTATCATTTTCTGGATGACGTGAAATACAGCATGGCCACTTGTGTGTAGCTGATTGCATGGGGAGGATTATTTCCCAATTGTGTCATATTTTAAATTGCTTCGCAGCTCGTGACAAGGGCCGGGCCGCAGATGGTCCGACAAATGAGAACTGACGTCTTTCGTCGATTGGGGGGTGTCTGGGATGTCCCCTCCCCGACACCCTAACACCCCGCTCAGCCCTGTCACACAGTGCAATGACACGCTGACACAATCAGGGTTTGGCTGCCTCTGTGGGGGGGGGAGGGGGAAGAGGGCAGGTACTGCATCAAGGGAGAGTGTCAAATCCCATTACCAGACTAATTCTGTCAAAACACCATCCGTTTATTGTTGCCAAACCAGTCTGGCACCCCCCCTCCATACTCCTTTTACTGGAGTTGGCTTTATGGCCGCTTTGGCTGCAATTCTCTTCGCAAATGCTCAGCAAGGGAGGCGTGCAAAGACCGAAGGGACGAAAATAACGCATCTGCCTGCCGCGCAACAACTTCCAACACGTCGTTGAGCATTTCAGAGGCTGGAGATGCCATGCTGTTGTCTCATCTTTGTCAAAATACACAACAGAAATTACCATTGCAAAGAAGGGATTCATCGCTGCATTTCATAAATTTTGAAGACTTTTTTTTCTTACCTATGCCACAACTCATAACCAATGCTGTCAAAATATTTTGATTTCGCAGGTGATTATTACACGAACACTATTCTGGATCTAAAAATACATGTACGTTGATGTCTTTATTTGCTTTGTGAGATGTAAGTCTTTTTACTATGCCATTTGTACTGAGGGCCTACACAGTAAGCCGTGCTGTGCACTGATCTTATTTTACCTTCATTAAAGATTACATGAATCAATATATTTTCAAATTTTCATAAATTTTCAAATGTATAATGGTACTTTTTACACAAAAATACATGTATTACAGCATACATTCAGGGCAGTCCTGCTGTAAAAATGATAAAGAAAAACTTCCTTGTCTAAGTCATGACAATCTCCACTTACCTCACACTTCGTCAGGAACACAGTTCCAGAGTTGTGGTAGTTCTTTTTCTTCAATTTCTTCTTTGGATTGATACATTCCCATTCTACCTAACCGTGAAGGGGAGGACGTCAAGCAAAAATTATTTCGGGTTGAAAAGCTCACACAAACAAAGAAGAACAGTACAAATAAAACTGGACGATCACAGTACAGCCTGACCAATTTTAAGATCACCTTGACCAATTTTGAGTTCTTCTAGCTCCAAACATTTCTACTGTTGCAGAAAAGACCAAAAATCACATCTACAAACATCCGTATTTTTGAACTGCAAAATATCTCTGTGACTGGGTTATAAGTCTAGAAACAATGGTTTTAGCCGTATTCTACATTAAGGAATACTCTATGACACCACTTACATTAAAAGTTAAACATGACTTTTAACAGGACTTCTATTTACATATCCTGAGCTTGTGTCACTGGTAGTCTGCTGCTGTTCTCAAAATACAGCTTACCACATCAAAGTACCCCGTTTGCCTTATATACTATTGCTGAAGTGAGGGTGGATTCAAAACAAAAATCTTCTGAGAATGGCCAATTTTTTTTCCAGGGAATAAGTCTCCTACCCCCACTATCCCTTATTCCTCCAAAATCCAACATTGTTCCTGAGCCCAATTTCATGGATATCCAGTAGAAGAAAGTGATGCAAAGCATATTTCTGTGCCTTGCAAAAATGAGCAGGGGACCAGTCCCAAGCAATGAACTTTACTTGTCATTCTGGCTGGTAACCTGTTTCTTCTCAGAATACATCCCCTTATGCTTCATGAATTTCTGTGCCATTGGTCAGAGGCACAGTGTAGCATTTTGGAAGATTCAGGAAGGTTGAATTAATCCGACCAAATACACTTCAAGACATGGCTTAACCATCTCAACCATCCCTATACTAACATATGCACCTGTACGTGTACCTGTTATACAGCGTACATGATACTGTAGAATTTTCAAAAGATATAATTTGACAACAAACCACATGGCTTCTTAAAGTTAAAAAAAAAATTAAAATTAAAAATCAAAACTAAAAAATGGAAATGCTATCGGCTCAATCTTGAACACTTAGGAATAAGAGAAAATAAAAAAATAAATTGAAAATAAATTTTAAAAATGGAAATGCTATTGGCTCAATCTTGAATACTTAGAAATAAGAGAAAATAAGAAAATAAATTACCAATTTTGATCCTTTCCAAAATTGAAATTTTGATGATTATATGAACACCTTGCATATAAACACTTTGACAGATTAACCCTAACAAGAGGCACAGAAAGACTAGTGTTGCAGCCAAATCCACGACAAGTCCCTGCAAGTCCACTGCAACCTATCCAGGCTTAAGCCAAGTCACAGAGCCATTCCAATCAACTGGGACGAATGCACTCCTTTGTCACTGGCCACCCTCCCTCTAATGACTGGTCTTGTGGAAGGACTTGTGAGTGGACTTGTGAGGGGACTTGTGAAAGAACCCGTGATGGACTCAACTTCAAAACTGTGAGCAATGTTGGCTCCTTTTGGTAACCATGAAAGGTGCATGTAAAGTTAATTTATGCACATTATACAAAGCTTAAGGGGCACGACCACCACCTTCGTGAACACGTCAAAGCCAGCAATTCTCACAAATTATTCAATATTGACACAACAAGGCCAGGGGAGAATGAATATTTTAAAAACGATGGGCTCTGTTCCCTAGGCACCTGCTTGTAACCCTGAACCCACACCTCAGCGATTTCACTGGACTTATTGAAGATACGTTGGAAAGAAGCAAAGATGGTGGACAGCATACACTTTATAAAGGTTGACAAGCAAAACTTTGACAAACCTGACAAAGAGAAACAAAACCAAAAGTAACAACCACACGGACTATCTTTCTAAAGTACATCTGGAACCAATTATGCCCAGTTCTTTAATGCGGCTGATCTTCTCTGTTTGGATTCCTCTTCTCCGAATTTCTGTGACTTTTTGTGTGAGGGCTTCAAAAGCTATTTCAGGGGGGACTTGGCAAAGAGCAGAAACTCCGAGCAAAACGGCATTGATGAAAGGCAGGATTTGAGAGCAGAAACTCCGAGCAAAACGGCATTGATGAAAGGCAGGACTTGTTTCACTGTCCACCTTGGCTGTTTTAATCACTTTTCCCATCATGGGTTGAAAGCACTGGTAAAGTCACCTATCAGCACCTACAAATGCCCTCTTCCAGAAACCCTGTCATTGCATAGGTACCACTCGATGGACAACAGCTCCAGCCAGTGGCATGGCTATGGTGACTGATATGATTCAGTTTGTTTTCATTTATTATCTCAATTCTCTTTCAACTTGTCCTTTTTGGCATTGTTGTGGGACTTTCCAGTTTGTACACCAGATCAAAAATCTATATTATTAAAGGGCCACTTCTCTTGAGCACCTGCACTTTTGTGAGCAATGCTTATGGAAAGACGCTTGGGTTTATGTACACTGAACACTGTAGTGCACATTCCGCTGAAAATATGTATTGCTTGCCATGTGCATGTGCAAACCAGTCTCTGCATACTTTCCTCCTTGTACGGTACCTACTAGTTAGCTATCCAATGTAGTCTACGTTTTTTTGCTCAGAGTTAGAAATGGCCTGTGTATGCTGATGTGCTGTTTTGTACATCAAGACATTTACTTTTGATATAACCACAAGCAAAGTAGGTGTGGCTTAGTTTGAATGCACACTGGACACAGGATTGAACACAAAGCATCCTACACTGAATGCAAGCATATACACAGACAGTACAACCGTTATTGCGAGACACATATGATCTTACACTAAACTAGAGAACATCAGTACCTCCTTGAACCAAGACCAGACTGAGACAAGAACAGAGGAAGGGAGAAGAGAGAGACAAAACAGAGGCTGGCGAATCCCGAGGATTAGACGAGCGAGGCTGATCGGTGACGTGATTGGTGAATTCATGGCGAGAGAAAAAAAACAAAAAACTGAGAGAGCGTTACAAACTGGCGAGAAAAGATCGTGAGAATAAAGCATAGACAGCATTACTTTCTCTCAAGAGCGGCAAAAAGTTGGGAGGAAAAACAGGGACTTGATTGGTGAGACAGGTGAAAGGTCAAGGAGGGTGATGATGGTGAAGACAATGAGAATGATAACCACGGTGGTAATAATAACAAATGTTGTACAGAGATGATTCAATCACGATGATGACAGTATTCAAAAGCAAAATAGACACGTTGCCATGACAATGACAGTATAGATTATATTTCGGGCTGTGCATAAGAGCATTTTCAGAATCTGATGGTATCTCTTACACCGAGAACAGTGAAGACATACAACAATGCTGTGATATCTTAAATGGGAGGGGAGGATGAATTATGATGCATCATGGGATACATTACGGTGCGGTCATGTTAGAGAGTGTGGGCTAGTTGTGGGGGGACGTAAGGCAAGGGGTGTTTTTAGTGAGAATTAAGGAAGGGAAAATATACATCTTGGTAAGAATGGTGCATGAAACATTTCGAGTGCAAAAAGAGCAAGCAGAAATATTGCAAAATGCAAAAACGGTTCACAAAGCTGGAAAGCATCAGATGAAATAAATACAATGCAAAAGAGAACGTAATAAAAGAACTTTGTGTTTTTCCTGTGAACTTTTCTGAGGATGAATATGTAATCTTAATAATAGTGCAGAAACATGAATATTCATGAATCCAAATTGAATACAGCCAATCACTGGCAATATGTAACACAGAAAAGGACCATTTGGAAGCAAAGAGATTAAAGGGGAAAAGTAAAGGAAATATGCATCAATTGAGAAAAAAATTTGAAATAAAGCTTTCAAGCTTCAAGGTATAAGGACAAAACGTTCAAGATGAAAGATCAAAATGAAGAACGGTGAAAAGAACAGAGTCCAGAGCTGAGAAAAAATGGACGCTTAAGCAGACTGAGGTATGCCCGAAATTAATGGTTACCCAACATTTGACCAATGAGTGACCTACAACTCCCCATATCAACAGTTTCTGATTTTATCCTGTAAGCTCCTAAGTTTCCCTGTCGATAACTGCTGCTGCAGCAAGTTGGAGTGCACAACCGCAGAAAGGGACCAATTACAGAAAGCAAGCATCGTGAAGTTCAATCGTTAGATTCCAGTGTCATTTGTAACTGACTCCCATCAGAAATTGATCGGGGGGGGAACATCCAGAGCCCACGTCCAGCTGCAAACACAGCGTCCAACAACCTTTTTTTTTTCCCTCTCTAATTGGATTGGTTCAGCCTGAGGCCAAAGATAATCAAATTATGTAATTAAGTCCAAGGTCAACAGTAGTGGATTATCAGAAGGGATGCGCATATGAGTACGCTGGACAAGCCTACCCTTAAAACAGGTTTAGGGAGATATCATGACGAATTGACATTTACTTTCTGGAGGACGAGTGGGTTGAACTTTTGGTTGAAATGATTGCTGTAGTGAATCTATCGATGCCACGACAGAATCTATGAGACACAGTATTAAGTTCACTGACAAGAACAGCTTGGTATTGCATCCCGACCCTAACACACAGAAACCTATCAGATGCAGCCGGGGCAACTGATCATCAAAGCATAGTGTCATTAAGAAACAAAAACTGAGTTAAACTGAGTTTAACCTACAACTTACAAAGGAATTCTACACTTTGGGATAAAAGCCTAAATTAATCACAAAACACTTATGAAGTTTGTCACAATGCAATGGAGAGCAAACTTTGAGTGATAAAAACATGCAAACCTCTGTGTAAGTCTGAGAAATGATTTGGCTTATGATTAATTGGTTAATTAGAACAGTAATTTTTATGAATAAAAATCATTCATATCATATCAAGCCATGTGTGTTTCACTATTACAATGTTTATGGTCAGGGAAGGTGTTCTATTTTATAAAAGTTAATGAAGTTACAAGTTAGTACATTATATAAAGCAATACTTTATCAGTCAATATTGAGTGCTTATGCAGTTACATACTAATGACTTAACAGATTACAAAACAATGCTTAACAAAATGGTTACAATTACTGCACAATTGATGACAACAAAACAAACAAAAGACGGACAAAAGGTGAATGAAAATTCATTTTGATGATGAAATGAAGTTACTAAATAACCAAACGGAATTGTTCATAATGACATGAATGAAACAATACATGACATGACAGGAAAACCAAACCATGCCATCATAACAGGTTTTTGAAGTTGGATTTTAAAAACAACTTCTTGTAAATAACTTCTTGATAAAAATTCAAAGTGCAATTTTAAAACATTTGTATAAAAAATGTGCACCAAAATGCAGCGGACAAGTGAAAAAAAAAATTGAGATGCTCGTCTTTTTGAAGAAATGATAAGCATTGACTTCCTTTCCAATTTCAGGTCCAATGGCCAAAATTCTGAAAAATTGTTGTGTAATAAAGAAAGTCGTTTGAAAATGGTTTTGATTCAAAATTTTTTTCACATTTCTTGACAAATAGTGCTGTTAAAGCATGCACATGACAAATTAATGTGATGGGTCGGGGGGGTCATGATAAATGCTTCAGTGGTCAGGGTCAAAGGTCAAATGGTCTTCATGAGTTAAATTATCCGGGATGACAATGGAATGCATCATGTGAGGTTGGGGCATGAGTTGAGTTTCGCGCGGATAAGAAGCTTAATGATTCAAATTTAGGGCAAGATGATTCCTATGCATTTTAATTTTTGTCCATTCTGTAATGACAGCATTTTTCAGTTTGGTTACCATGACAACGACAGAAAGTCCCAGAACAGATCAAGGTACCTGTCGGCTACCACTCTCGACCAGTTGCCGAGCAGTGGTGTAGAATTCACCAATCAGGTCGTTCGCGCTACCTTCATCATGATCAAAACACATGACCTGTGGGGGGGTGAGAGAAAGAGGGTTCAAAGGTCAATAAACAGGGTTCATGACAGCAACCGACACCATGTCGGCCCAAGGAGGCTACCTGACTTTTGCACGCTGAGCGGATTTCCCGCGCTGTCGTGAAGAAGACCCCAACGAGGTCGTGGCCTCCGTCAAAATCGTAGTCCTTACACACAACCTGTAATGGCCAAAAACCATACACTGTGAAATCTGCAACCAAAAATGTGTAAATGCAAGTCCAGAAAACATTCCATTATATTACAACTACTCCCTCCACCGAAAAAAAAATCACATTGGAAAAACAATACACTGAATATCACTGTCATCTGCAAATAGATGCAATATATACCTGGGCTGTTTTGAACAATTACGGTGGCGGTTAATGTTACTCAATACATGTACATGGGAGATCATTGGATAAGTAAAGAATTCCCCATAATTTGCTCGTGTTGACGGAACCCAATTACTATTCCTCTGAGCAAGAAGCCAGTGGGTCAGACTGCCAGCTAGGAAACCTATTTATACACAGGGAAGAAGACAGACAGTCGGTCTGCTGGCAAGTGAGTACGAGTACATGACTACATGTACACATTTGTAAATTCCAAGGGTTAAATGGAATCGGGATGTGGGGCCGCTGGGCCTTGTTGATTCAGAAGGGCAGACTTTTAAATGGCGAGTGACACTGAGCAATCCTGACCCTCAGCTACAATGTCAAGTGATTTAGAGCGACTGTCAAATGCGCACTCCAACAAAGGTCGGACTACTGGATGCTTAAGGTCTTGTAAGCAATGCACTTGAAAACTCACACCTCCAGCTAAAAACACTGCTAAGCAGCCTCATTTGCTGAGCACAAGCAGGGCGAACACCAGGCAATGTACCGGTATGCGCAGTAAACATGGACTCATGGAAACATGTGACTCAGTTAACGGCCTGTTCTCGCCATCAAACATTTTGGGTTTCCTGTACTGCAATTTGTGCTTCTATTTGTGACTCTTTGGCTTTTTCTCACTTCCAGGAGTTGCATACCATGTGTACATTATTTGTTCCACATTGTCAAGAGTCTTTTTTTTTTTTCATGTCTCTTTTCAGAGAGGGGTAAGTGAACTTACATGTAAATGACTCAAACCAAAAAAAGCATACAAATAGAGTGAATGGACAGAAAAAAAAAATTTCACAAAAGACAACATTAAAAAGCCTGGCCGACCGGTATGTCTTTTCCATTACACGTACATGTATGTTTGTCACACATGGTCTCATTTTCAATGTACTGGGCCTGCCCCGGTGCTCAAATTAGCCTTGGACTATAAATAATATCCCATCTACACATACAGTTTTGTGGAGAGATTAAGCATGAGAGCTAGTTCTTTCAGGAAATAAAAGACTTTCTCCACTAATTGTGGGCAGCAGTCGGGTTGATATTATGCCACCCTCCCCCCCCCCGATGCCAAAAACATATGCTGCCATTACATATATGTGTGCGGTCAGGTGGCTTCCTTTGTGATGTAAGCAGAGGAATAGAAATCAGATATCCCGAGGATAACTCGAAGATCTCTCATCAAAATCATTCTGCCTCCCACCACAACATAAAAAAACACAAAATCAATATTTCAGATTTCTGTGTTTCTCAGAAGAATGGTTTCAATCCAGTTTCTTTTAAAATTTCAGGGATATTTAATTCAGTTGACTGAGAGGAAAACTATAAAAAAAATAGAATTCACTCCAATCAATATTTTAAAATAAAACTAACAACAAAAAAATGAAATAAAAAAATGTTTAAAAAGAAACCAACTAACAGACACTTGTGAACAAATACCCATACTCCTCTTTTACATGAATCCGAAAGTACGGCCCCAAACTTGTACCAAATTCAATTATAGAAACTTCCTTACCCGTTTGATCAGGCCTTGCATAAGTAGCTCTCTGGTTCATCCAACTTCACAAATCGATATTTCGTTTTCACATTGTGAACATACCGGTAAGTGGAATTCCAAGATTTCCAAACCTTCCAGGATTCTCACTGTACATGATTTTAGTCTACCAATCTGGACTCCATTCACCGGCTGACAGGTGAATGGGGTGCGCTCCCGCACAAAATCCTTCAAGACAGGGGTGGGCAGATCTTCCCCCTCCCCCATCAAACTATGCCCCTTCACGTGCAGTTATTGGCCAGGATATAGAGGACAGGTATGCCTACATACATGTATATTCCAACATCTACCTCTGCCCCCGTAAAGCGAGGGCAGATCTTCAAACCCTCCACGCAGGGATGTAATGAACCGATTTTGACCTTAAAGGAACACATTGTCTGGTGGATGTTCTCACCCGACCCCCCCAACAAAGTAGCGGGTCCACACTGGCAAACTTCACAATGGGCAGATGCTCAACTTTTCCAAGAGACATAAAATGGGCGTATTCAAACCTTGTTCCAGTCAAGGGAAACGAGTGGGTGGTAAATGTACCTGGCACCTGACAAAAAGGGGGTGGAGAATTTCTAATCCCTTAACATGGAGAAGGGGTGCATGAGTGGTGCCTGAACACGGATATTATAAATGGGCTGAATTGGGTTGGTTTCTTTAATAGAATGATGGGTAAATGGAGATCCTTGATTTCTAAGAAATTGAGGGGGGGGAAGGTCGCAAAAGGTTCTGCTAAGGATCTAGTGGAGAGGTTTCTGACCGCCATCCTGAAAGGGAAGGGATGGGGTGTGACTTTTGACCCTTTGGGGAAGATACATCAATCATTGACTGATCCGATAAACCTGATCCTTCAACAGCATGGAGTTTGGGGGAAATTTTGGCAGAGCAAGGTCGGAAATGCTCATCTTGGTCCCACTGAGGGAGTGAGGCTCATCTGTAAGGACTGTTCTGACTCATCGGACCCACCCAAATCTTCTGAAAGCCAACTCTCAATTTTGGACGATTTTAGGGGATCCAGGGCGGTCCAGTCCAGCCAGCATTACTCACTGTGCCGCTTGGTTTCCTAATTCTATGGGCCTGCCTTGGCTCATGGCACTGATTTTGAGACACTGGTGGATTAAGGTCTTTCCCCTAAAGGCCCAAGGATTTCTGGGCTGTAGGATCCGGCAAGTTCCGGAGGTAGTGAGAATTTAGGGGAGTTGATGGAAAGGGTAGTACAAAAAACCGGCTTGGCAGGGGACGGAATGCACACATACATGTACAATGTATATAGTCTTCGATAGCTTGGTTTCAAGGAGAGAAATGTGGAAGTATTTAATCACAGCATCATCTCTGATTATTAACTTACTATGGCCACATCAACAGCTGCTCATCAGCTGTTAATGTACGGCCCATTAATTTCATGTCTACAAGTTACACTTCACTGCTTTCCAAATCTTGCCAGGGCCTTTAACAGTAATGTCGGTGACCACTTGCCATGCACCGATTATTAATTTACACAAATGAGGAGGAGGCCAAAGTTTGCCAAGTCCATCGTCCTTAGGTTGAGTAGGATCAATACATAGCACAGCCGTCTCCTGGCTTGACGTCACTACCATAGTACCAAGCGATGACTTGAGGGGGAAAGGGGGAACTGAGAAGGAATCATTGGTGGGGAGATCACTACGGATGACGGACCACCCCAGGTTATGATGTTCTGACGACTGAGTGCGCTCACCACCAGACACGGACTCCCCGCCTACTCAACCGTGGCAAAACGCAACTGTCCACACCACTGCCTCCCTCAACATACTCCTTCCCCCTGACTCTTCCCAAAGCCCAGCTCGTCTGACGTCACAGTGAATACATCGCTGCTGATGTGTCAATGACTTGTTTTCTCTTTTCTGTTTTTTTGTCTTTTTGGGGGGGAGGGGGGCTTCTTTACACTTCGGTGGATTCCGCACCAACAAAGCATCAAGGTGGAAAGAGTAACCGTCAAGTTTTCAACGGGATGCTGAATAGAGAGGATGGTACGATGGACTGAGGACTATGCTTGACTGGCAGAGCTAAATGAACCCTAGATGCGAGCTGCGGGAAAGGTGCACATGCATGACTAAGAACAGTAGAAGGCATTTAATGTGTGCACATCACCCCACTAGCCTGGACAGTGGGCCCTTGATACATTCTTTAATAAGCAAGGAAATCTTTTGCTCTATGATCATCAGACACACAGCCCTACCGGCACCAACATCGTTGCTTTCTAAGCCCCAAGCGATGAAAATTCCAGTCATGATCTGCATGCGCAACTGTGACTTTGAAGGAAAGGAGCAGACATTGTCAGCTTCCCGCCTAAGCACTGTATCAAGTTTCGGTCCACTGATTGCGGCGTAATGTTTCCTGTTTCCCCTCCTGTTCTGATTGCTTGCATGGACACATTTGACTGCTCAATTCCAAACACATCTTGGGGAAGGGAATTCTGTAAACAGGCGTGGCTTTGCAAATCGGACAAAGAAGGCTCAAGACTGAGAAAGGGGAAGAAGAGATACATAAAACTCATTTGTAAATACCTTCAGTTTCTTGTCGTAGTCAGCGTTACACAGGGTTCGCAGAGATATCTTAAAGGGTTTCCAAGTTGGATTTAGTGTGTTCTTGATCACCTAAAAACGGGATAAAAATGACAAAATAAATGGAGGATTTTCTACTTGCAGAATCAGTAAACATGCAAAATACAAACTAAATGCATCAGTACCGGTGCTTCCAACATTAAAAAAAACAGAAATTGGTTGGAAGCAATGGTGAAGTTTCTGATGGGAAATTTTAACTTATTCTTGTCAAAAAAGAACTGAGAATTACTTCCAGACTAGTAAAACATCTGAACTAGCAAAGGACGACAAGGTAAACAATTTTGCTAGGAACTTAGAAAAGCCAGACTCAGTCTTCCAGGACATGTACAAAATTCTTAGAGAATATGTCAAGAATTACTTAATACCCAAACAATATGAAGTTGATGAGCTTGTTTGTTGGTTTGATTAAAAAGTACAAATAAGTTCACTGACTCATCCTTCGCAAAACTGACATCATCCTTGTCAAAATAATGCATTACATGTACCTTACCATTCTCTAACAGCTAAGGCCAAACAAGCATGCATACACTCACAGCTGTCTCCCTATTAATTCCTATTATTGGGCCAGAGAGGATACCAATCAAACGTTCAACATTCATTTAAGATGCCGAGAATATCTTGGCCAAGGGCGGGCTGATGGCCGGGAATTTCTGGAATTCTGGGGGCTTGGGGGTTTAACTCCCAAGGATTTTCACACAGTGCGCAATCCAAACGACATGTTTTATACAAACGTATATTTATTTTTATCTTTCGGGAAACATGCAAAGGCACACGTACATTAGTTTGGCAAGAAGCCAGATCTGCACACATCTGATTAATGTTCCTTCCCGTTTCCTGTCCAGAACTCTTCGTGTGCAGGTTTTGGAAGCCATCTTTCCCTGTTCCTTTTTTTTTATTCCTTGTACTTTCACCCATTGCCATTTCTGAGATAAAAGTACCATTTTCATCAGCAAGCAAACTTGGAAAACTATTTAATTTGCTTTCTTGATAATCAAATCTAAATAGGACAGAGAAAATACATGGCAGTAGGATTCAAACCCATGACATCTAGAGTACCGTGTCAACAATCTGACAAAACCTATCCAGCTGTGATGTTTGTTTGTGCATCTCCCAATCTTTTCTTCTCTTATTTCCCCCAAAGTAAAGTCACTGTCTGATCTCACAGATACATGTATGGACAAAAAGATTAGAGTCAATAATTTTCAAAGAAAGCTTCCCTTAACAAACTCTTTTCATTATAGCAGTAACATCATCCAGTTCCTGATTTCCACAGCTGGTGGGGAGAAATGTTACTTTTTAAAATCTGACAGTGCTACCGGCAGTTAGAAATTTAATATAAAGCCTGTGATGTGTAAGTTGTGTGGCGAGGCACCGGGCCAAGTCACAACGCCAACATTACCAGAGCTGTAAACCACAAAGCAATAAGGAATGACTCCGAGAAGATCAATTCAAATCCTAGGTTGTCAAAGCCTGATCACGACCTCTGGCAACTAGCAGCCTCACCAAGAACACTGCAGGCCGGTAACTGGCAAACTGGCTGGTAACAGGCAAATGTGGCCTCAGGAACAAATTCATCAAAATGACTCATAAACTTGGCAAGTTTTAATGACACGCTTGACAGACTCAGTAGGATGACACTGTGGTGGCCTCCAACATACATGTACGTACATGTAACTGGCCACAGGAGCAGCTGTCAGAAAGATTTTAAATGGCTCCAATCATCACTGAATTGATCAAAGGCCTCCAAATACGATGTCAACTGGCTTCCATTTTAGCAGCCAATATCTGGGAAGTCCAGTAGCTTTAGATACAGCCGTTCATGAGCTCGTGGCTCACATCGGCCAAAGTAAACTGGAATATGGCCAGTAGCCTACATGTATGTCATAAGTGACCTGGTTACTAGTGCCAGGAGGCTGGGTTAGTAACCACTGTGAGAGAAGTGGTCCAACAACAAGTAATCTCAATCACAGGAGACCACGTACCAGGCTTAAAATGCAGCTGCAACAAATTTTTCTTTGACACAATTTTTCTGCATTTTTGTACTTTTCTTGAACGTGTGAAAACTCTTTCACACTGCTATTTGGATAATTACGTTGAAAGTGCGTGCTTTTGACAATCAAAAATATCCATGTTTTCCCAGACAACTGAGGTTGCTGTGAAGTCATCTAGTGAAGACATGGTTCAGTGCATAAGTATTTCTGTTCAAAATGTGAATCAAGAATTTACTGACTGAAAGCATTTCTGAGAGAGGGACTGATGGTTTCTTATTGCTATGAACATAAACAACAATGAATCAGCAAAGAAGAGAAAACTTGGTCCAGGAAATTCTATAAAAATGCAGGACTTTTTTGTGTACAAACCAATGTAACATTGAGGCTTCTTACTGAGGTGACATACAGGTTTACTCATGAATATGGAAATATTCATTAGCATAAAAACCCAAAAGGAATTAAAATACCCTTTGAAATAGTGAAACCAAAGTTGAAATAAGGTCTACTGAGCCACAAAGGTGCATTTTACAGGTCTGCAATCAAAAACATTGATTGCAGCTACCCTTTACCTTGATGTCTATTGCCCCATTCCCCATGGGCCTGCTACCAATATACAGACAGGTATACAGAGAGCGAAAAGCCTACTGAAGTGGCCAGATATACATGTATCTGTACACATGTGTCTACAGATCGTCAATGCAGGGTACGTCTGGGCGCTAACTATAGTTTAACCAGTAGTCAGTTGCTTTTTAACAATGCACAGAAAAATTCAATTACAGCACATTCAAATGACCCTAGTTGGCCTATTTTAAATCTCATCGAACGTTACGAATATTTCATTGTTGGCTGCAAGTCTCGCAGCGTACAATTGTACATGGTCATTGAAATGTTTGTTTTTTGATGTGAATAGTTTCCTCTACATAATGATATATGAAATATACCGGAATGTTAATGTTTTAAGTGCGTTTTAACCAGCAGCGCGACCATACCCTGAGGCCTGGTCCCAAACGGTTGACTAGTTTAAACCATCCATTGTTCAGGCAGTGTTAGTCAAACTATAGTTAACTGTAGTCGTCGCTTGAACTTGTCCCAGAATGTTCTTCTGGTCTGTTGGTTTTCCACTCCTAATGGCACTGCAGTTCCGTTATGTCCCAACTATCATCAGGAGATACTGAGATCAATGAGGTGTGAAATGAATGAAATGCATCGAGTCTGGTTAAGTCCTCGCCCTACAGTTAAGCACTGTGAGAAACAGTAGGGTTGGTACTCTTCTGAAGGATCAATTTTGGGCAGAATTTGTTTTTGCGTCTTCACTGGCAGTCAGTATGTGACGACATTATTCGTTTAACTACTGGCAAGGAAGACAGCTATTTCAGACGCCCGTTGGCCTTGGCTACTAATAGCCAGTGACCTCAAATTTCACTGGCCAAAGTGGCTTTGACTGAAACATCCAGAGGCCTGTATTAAAGTGGCCTTGGTTTTGGATTTTCACAGGAACTGTATGCACCTTGCGGACTTTCACTTTTCAAGTACCAGGGGTGTGAGTGGCCACATACAGAAAAAAAAAGCTGAAAACAGCTGCACACCGCATCAAGCTGGAATTTAAAAAGTTCCCATAATTTTTACAAAGCAGGTGTAAAAAGAGATAAAATCAGATGAAAAGCTGAATTCTTACACCTCTGAAGTAAGAAAAGAAACTAACCTCTGTCACATGAACTTTATTCCATTCGTCAGCACCTAGTCCAGCTTTGTAGAACTCCAAAAATGGATCTGATTTGCCCATCATATCCTGAAAATAACATACATTCATACTATATTATATTATAAACTATATTAATTATATTATATTATCATAATATATTATTATATCATATAATCATAGGCATTTTGTAATTAATTCTTTCTGGCGATGAAACCACCAAGTCTGCAAAGTGAATCTTTATCGGAAAACCTAAGAACAGCTTATCAGGAGTATAACAGATGAAAGAGGAAGTAAGATTCAGAAGTGGGAGAACTCGAGAATAATATTCTAGGGGAAAATACTGAAACAGAATCAATACAGACTGAAGAATCTGATCCACATGTCGTCCTTGGGATTTGAACCCCAACTGCACAGGTACATGTACCTGTACGTGAGGTGAGGAAGCTTGGCTAAAACCTGCCTCTCCACACGCTGAAGCAAGACTCTTGCCATTCAAGCAATTATTGAGATGCTGTGTTTACGAGGCAAATAAAGAAGGCTCAACACATGGTAAAGCAGCCGAGCTGCTGCCAATTACTCGTATGTCAGCTGGTAAACAAGTGCTGGCATTTAACATCTTACTTCCTCCCTCGGGAAGACTCCTGATTGCCATCACTGGCCGCATAAATTGAACCAAGTTATGAAGCAAGTTGTGGACTATACATCTTAACTATATTCTGGGAGGCCTATTTTAAGATGTCATTAATGTCCTTCAACTCATGCACGTGAAATGTTCACCAGAAAGACTATCAATAATGACATCTATTTTTCTGAAACCAAGATGCTACTACATGAAAATGTAGCAAACTAGACGGCCAAACTTTGAATTAATTCAACAAATCACTTCAGGCTGCAAGGAGGAACACTGCAACGTGTGCTTGAAATGTGCGGCCCAACGTAACAGAGCAAGTTGCCGGTGGCCAAAGCCACTCTTGAGTTTTGAGAAACCCTTTGAAAGGATCCTGCTCTCACTGGGTAAATCAGTGGGAACTCATGACTTTTTCACCCCTCGTAATATCGATTTTCATTAGGTTGCAAAATGCAGCCAAAAGTCCGACACTTGTCAGTGATACTTTAAAGCATAGGGCTCGGTTTATTCTTCCTGATACAGTAACGGTACAAACTAAAAGTGGAAACACTGACAAATGGCCTTAAACTTAATTTGTGGGTCCGATCACGTCTGCACTTCAATCTAACCTGAAATGCTCAACTTCCGACTTTAACAAACTCTACAAATGAGCAGACATTTTGAAAATGGAACTGCAAAAGTAGGAACCCTGTCTTGGCACTTTTTAATTATCAAAACAGATGTGGTCCATTCAAACTCGGAGGACTGCGGCACGGGAAATGATACATGGCTCCTCCCGTTAATTCACACAAAATGATTGATATGCCGCGAAGCAAAAACCCGAGCTTAATTATACACGGCCCAGAAAATGACGCCCGAACATTCAAGGTGAAAACCTAACCCGACATTCCCGTGTGAACTTGTACATGAAAGAATCAATATCCATGTCCACTGCGCGCGGATGGTAATGAGATCATTCATGCGAGGGGGGGGGAGGAAAGGAGGGGAGTCCTGGGGTCCAATGACATTCAGAAGCTGACTGTACTTTTTTGCAAAACACAGTGAACCCTGATCATCCATGGGAGTGCCATATGAGGAGTGGGGATGCACCAGTATGCGCAAACTAGCTACATATACCGTACCATTAGTTCTTCAGTGGGCGTTCTTGAGTTTAGTGACGCACTCAAATACAGGGACATGTAGAAACGCGTAGACACTGAACTTGGTAATGATACGGTACCGTATATGTATTGTATTTACATGTAGACTGCTTTTTAAGTCTTCGTCTTACTACTGCACCAGTACACTTCGTCGTGTGCCCGGCAGAAGGGCGTAAGCGCTTATGCCCTTTTGCCGGGAAGCATGATCACTGCAAAAAAAATTTTTGCGGCAGAAGGACGAAAGTATGCAACTATTGCATTTTAATGAAATATGAAGATTTCTTGGCAAAAAGGGAAAAAAAAAAATAATAAGTCCTTTAATAAGTTATTCAAAGATTGCTTTTTGTACAGCCCAGGTTGATTTTGTAGAAAATTATATCCGTTTTTACTAGATAAAGCGAGTGTATTTCTTACGCCCTTTTGCCAGGAACATTTTTTCTGCCATGCTTCCTGGCGAAAGGGCTGGGCACCCGACGACTTACAGTACGTTTTGACAACTGCCGGTAGCTTTAATACATATCTATAATAAGGAATTGTGGGTACACCATGGGATCTATCTCTTCAAGAAGAGGCGGGGTTCTGAAAGGAGCCGGTGAATGTTAATGCGATGTTTTGACCAGGATACTCTGGGGAGGACAGCCAAAGCATCCTGGTCAAAACATCGAGTTAACACTCACCGGTTACCGTAGATTACCTTACCGTAGATGTACAGGTATGTACTACTTCCACCATGCAAAGTTTCAAATCTTACTTAGCTTTAATGCAAGAAACTCAAAAGTGAATTCCTGAGAACTTGATGGCACTGACTCAACTCAGTACTAAAGACATGTGAGGCCATGAAGTGAAACAGTTGAAGTTGTTTCTACATGTACATCTAATAAATGTTGTGAAGAAATATGATGAGCAGATTTTGGGAGGAGATACATGTACATTGTACATGTATATCGTAGAGTCCCCTAACGTGGCACACTTCAACTGTCACTTGAATTTCCCCTCATAGCATAAATTGCCAAACTTTTTTGTTGAAAAACTCAAAAGTCATACAGTTAAATACTCGTACTGTAGCCCTCGTGACACATAGTGCTGAACCTCTGTGAACAATTCCGGTGTCATGAAATTTCATCTGAAATTCCAAAAATGTTGACGTCTGGAAATTGAGCTCAAATTCAGCTGGGTGTTCCTTAATGTGGCGCACTTGAAAAAATCTCAGAAAATCCTACATTAAACATTTTCGAAATTCTTTAAAGTTGATCAATTTACATTTGGTAAGTATTCATTTTGCCATCAGAAAAAAATCGTAAAATCAGCTGAAAACAAAAATTTCATCAGAACTTTGTAGTATGTGCATAATATCACGATTTGATGAAGTTTCGTTGACTGCGGAATTTGAGGTAAAAATATTTGCCTGGTAGGACACGAGAGGCGAAAAATGAAAGTGCACCACGTTAGGGGTCGCACTGGCCCAGGTGGACTCCCTGACCGTACTGCGTGGAATGAAATGAAGACAATGTCCAACCTGGGCTAGGGGCCGCACCATGTTAGGGTTCTGGTACGTCAACTTTACCAAGTCAAGTAGCTTCTTGTACACACCCTCTGTACATGTGCAATGCACCGCTAGCACCGTGACAATATCCATGCGCCTCTAGGTGTCTACACGTATTCCTCGAAATGAGGCACAGAACTGCCTTCAATGTTTGAACCCTGAGTGAAAGAAGGAAATGTGCACCTGCAGAGTAAATCGAAGCAGTGGAGCGTGCACATACATGCACCTCATTGCAGTGATGTCAGACTCTCTCTCCTAAACCTTCAAGTCAGTGCTCTGTCTACAGGTACAAGTGCCGATATGTAGACAAACGCAGATTTCAAATGTGTACTGAGGTCATTACAGTCATCCCAAAGAGCTGCATGGTAATTACCCACTGCATAAGTGAAGTGACAAAATTGCTAAATCTGAAATTGTGTACATATACCAAGCAGACAAACTCAACCAATGAGAAGTAGTCAATGTCTACACTTCAACACACAACCCACATACAATTCATGCAGTCGTACAATGTACATGTACATACCGTATGCGCTGTAGTGAGGTACACTGCATATCAAATTAAGGTCAGTTCATGAATTGTAATCTGTGTCTCAGGTACTGTACCTCGCTCAGAATGCCAAAAGCATCCCATATCAGCAGTGTAAGAAAGAGTCAGCCATAGACAGATCTTAGTATTGTAGCCCAAGTACCGTAGAGCCAATCAGTAGGCCTATATCCTACACAACGGGAAGCAAACGCTTTTGAAGTGAATTTAATGAGAAAAAAAAAAGCACAGACAAAATTGGTACCTTTTCTGTGATTCCAAGTGAAATGCACAGTATTTCATGGTTTGGTTGTGGCTTATTGAAGCAATGTTGTTGGACATGCACAGACAGTAAAAGTCTGTTCTGCTATGTTCCATTAGTATATAATATATGATTTTATGGAAACATGAAACAGAGTGTAAGATTTCTTTTTCCACTGATCTAATGGCTACAGTGAAATTTACAGTCATCTCAAATGGAAGAAGACCGGTCTCAGAATTTTGATCACCATTCGCTCGTGTATCATAACCCCCCCCCCGGATATACCATAATGTACGACACCATCTGACGTAGCTTTGTAAGAGACAAAGTCAGTGGAAGCCATGCCATGCAATGCATTCATGTGATTAAGCCAAGTCATTCCGAGATGATGCAGGGGACAGTGTGAAATTTATCGCAGTCAACCATCTGGGCCCTAATTATGAGATACATAGTCCAAACAACGTACTTTCCTACACAACCACAAACTGGAACAGAAGCTACAGATGACAAGTACTGATATTTAAATGCACCAAGTATGCCATTCACAACACCTTCACGCATTGCTGTGTAACACTGATGAACCGGGTCCAATTCCACTGCGCTGCTTAGCACATAATGTCATAATACATGTACATGTAACTAAGGGCTCCACATATTTCATGGAGACTGGAGGAAAAGTTCGCTTAAACTTAGTGACGTAACAAGAGAAACCTCTAAGTATGCGCAACCGTTTCACAACTACGCTAAGCACTGGCATCTAATCGCGCTTAAGGTTAGCAGATTTTGGGGGGGCCAAAGTTAGCACAACTTTGCTGCTAACTGCTAAGTTAGCTCCGTGAAATTGGGCCTGGGAGGCAGAATCCCAATATGTGTATCCGTTTTGGTGACTTCAACAGTCACCCTAACTCCAAAAGCGTTTTGCTGGAAAGCTCCTCAAACCTAAGGTAAACCGATGTAATGTACCAGTAATTTGACCAAACCAGGACAAGCCCATCCAAATTATATCGGTGGTGGCTTGAAGGAGTACATGAACACAAACACACCAAATTCCAGTGAAATACTGTGCTCAAAAACAGCAGTGGTAAGCTAAGAAAAGGACCACAGATGCATCAAATACAGTTCTCTGGATAATATGTGTATATCATGAATGCCATTGAGATGTACCACACCACAAAATCATATTTCGTTTATCTTGTTTTCTTTTTGTTTTTTCAGGGCGGAATAACGCAGGTCACCTGCAATATATTGCAGTACGTGCTCATTATTTTACCCAAACCTTGCTCATAAAAAAAATCCTCTGCTGCTGATTAAATATTCAGATGAAGTGGCTTGCGTACCAGAAGTAGGAGTTTTCTATTACCAGATATCCTTGTCTGAAATCTCAACACAAAAGCTGCAGGTTGGTATCAATTTGTTAGCCAAATTAGCAAATACCGGATAGAGCCGACCAATTACAATACATCTGCCGAGCGCCAACAGGAGCAAGTGTATCTGTCATGGCATTAGGTAGCTGCATATCACAGATGTTTGTCAAGGGTTGTCAACAGCCCTTGAGCAAAAAATAAGCCTGTTCTGCTGGTACAAACAAAATATACAAGTCCGTGTACATATTAACACTTTCAAGAGTCTAATACCGTATACCTCTGAATACTGAGTGATTAACTCACCCTGGAACTGTTCATCTTGCATCAGAAAATGATAAAATTTAGGCAAAATCCTGAACACAGTAACGTAACCCTTCACTTTTTTTTGGGGGGGGAACAAATCTAATCAAGGACCATAGTGTGTGGTTAACACATGTACATGTAGTTCAACTGAGTCTAATCGAATGCATGCTAGTTGACCATGGCTTGACTAGTCTAGTCAACTATTCACGACCAGCCCATCGAGGTTGGTGGCATCGTCGGTTGCCATAAACCATTTTTTTTTTTACAGCATAGTGCAGAGAGAAAAACAATTACAAGAAAAATGCCGGAAAAGCAGTATGTCACTGGTAAACAATCATTTTCACTTTTCCTTTTGTTATTTTGCCCTTCATGCAGCCACCTTTTTTACCCCTCGGCCTCATGACCTGACAACGGTTGACTAGGGTCATTTGCACTTCAACTTCACAGCACATGCGCTAGGTAGTCACAAATCAACCACTAGTTAACTGGTGGTCCATGATCAAAGTTGCCCCTGGCCTCCATCAATTCCATCCTCAAAAGACCATGTAAACAGCCTGTTAGCCAGTTCCACAATCATCCTCCTGGATCAGTTACTGTTTAAAAGGACTCTACCGTTTCTCTAAAATTTCCCTAGTGTTGAAAATTAGGTCTTGAATAACCATCTCCCTTCAGAAGAACTCCATAAGCACCACAGTCCCCTCAAACTTTTTTTCACGGTATTCAGAACATTAAGTTTGAGAGAGAAAAAAATCACAGACACTTTAAAGTAAAGTTCACCCAGCAATTAGTGAGGGAGTTATGGCAACCTTGTGTACTAAAGATCATCCCTGATGTCTCCATCTGAAAAGTACAAACCTCGTGTGAAGGAAACCATCATAAATTTAAGCATCCTTCAGCAAAATGATTAAAATGCCCCAGCTAATCTGACCAAGCGCACACCAGGGACACATCACCAAAAATTGATGAGTACCATCCAGGCACTGACAGACGACTCCAAGGGTGACTTGGGGCTGCATGCCTGCACGTGCCAGCGACTGACGTGTTAATGCTCCTCAGCCAGTTTCCAGAGACAACATTCTTCCCGTGTTTGCCAAACAGTTTATGAGGACTTCAGAGTCACGTAACATTGTATGGTGCAATGCTGACAGTCTCAGACATGTTTACAATAAATGCTTTATCGCTTGGCAATCAAGTACATGTATCTTCTTTCATAGGACAGCAGTTTCTCGGTCAGGCCTGATATATGCATGTATTTTTCTTCTCATGAGACCTGGACATTAAAAAGTTTCAGATGTTCATCATGACTGTTGCAAGTTAAGGAACTGGTCCATACGTAAATGCACATGTACATGTACAAACCCTACGACTTTTGCCAGTCCAACACAAAAGTTGAACGTATTTACACAGTCAAATGATCAGAGACCAGTCTTTCCTATTTGTTAACTGCATTGCAAAAAAGTAATTAGTCAATGTCAACAAACCTACTCCCCTGAAAAAAGAATAACTGTGACCCAAATGAAAGAGCAAAACTTAAAAGGCCACTATGATACAACCGTGACACTTCCATCAAGTACCTTGATTCTCAATACAAAGGAAACCCAACAAGGAAATATTTGAAGAAGAAAAATGAATAAAAAGGGGAAGGCTGATGATGTACCAGTAATGTACATGTACTATTCAGATGAAGACAGATGCAATATTTTGGGGTTCATTCCGTTAACTATACACAATATTGTACCAGTTAATCCAAAAAAAGACAAGAAAAGTTGTGACTCGAGGTTGAGTGATACATTTCATATGAGAGAAAATAGTAAAATTAAGTACCTTCTTATCCAAGTTGTGTGCTCTGAAAGACAGAATAAGTGCATCATTGTTCTCAGCTATTTCTTCCGCAGTGACCTACAGAACAAAAAGAAAGGATAACATTTCAAGTATAGTTAGTATTTATCAATTCTCAAGGAGAGGTGCCCAGGTTCATGTACACTGTACATGTATCAAGGGCAATTCTGCAGTTACTTAATCAGAGTTATCCAATATCCTAAAATTGGTGCATCACTTACAAGTTTATCCAGTTGCCCATTGTTGGTTGAAAAAAAACACGCTATTGGGATAAAAAAAAACGTGTCTCCACGCACCACTGAAGAGACAAGACTGCTTGGTACACACACACACACACTACATGTACCTGTATCTGCAAGTAATAGGCCGTACATCGGCGCATTTGTTTACAATGGCATTGCCTGGCCAAGCTGAAATCATGAAGCACCCAGGAATGAAAACTAGAAATAAATATCACAGTATGCAGTAACCTACACAGGCTGAGAGATATGAGGCCTGCTCCTCTGATTAATAGTGGATGCCAAAGGTTTGGATTACTCCCATCGATCAAGTGGGCATCGGACACCACAAACACAACCAACCAGCTAAGGGCCTGCATCATGATGACCAGCTGGACTGTAGGAATTGATCCTATCAAGCTAGGGAAACGTTGTTTTGAGGAGAATGATGAGAGCAAGGGCAACTGGGGAGGGGGAAGGGGAGGGGGGGATAAACTGTTGATCCTCCGACCAGTGGACAAATGGACAGGAAATGCAGATGGCACCATGGTCATTCACAAGATCCAAGGAACGACACATTGAATGCATACCGTGAGTAACGACACATTGCATGCATACCGTGACTAACGTGTATGAGTGATGCAGAGTGCACATGTGCGAGTACATGTATGCGACCAGTTTTCAACTGAATGTGTACGAGTTTCTTGTTTCTCTATGGATGCGAAAGGAAGCAGAAATGAAAGGTAGACTCTGTGGGGAGAAGTACATGCAGGAATGCTTAGCAAGTAAACAAATGTGAGGATAACATGGAACCATATTCATGTACAGTTGTATGTATTTTGGGCATTCAGTTATTGGCAGTTATGGTAAATGTTAACAGGCATTACATGTCGGACTTCTCTTCCCATCAAGTATGTCATCTTTCAATCGTACACATTCCTTCATATATGTGACCGGCTTCACAAACATGGGTATTATGGGACTTTTTTTTTTCAAAATGAGTTACATACACATTTGAATTGGTTACATAATAAGCTTTAATTTGGTGTACCGGTAGGTCTGAACCCTGTGGCATTTTGCAATCTGGAGATATATTGATTTTTGAATAATCATATCATACACATTAACAGAATTGCTTTCAGAGATAAATCGCTTTAAACACAGGAAGTGGAAAAAGAAATCAGCCAAGAAAAAAGTCTCTTGATGCCCACAGCAACAGTTCGGTTTCTGGGATGAATTGTGAAAGTACTGATATAATAAAAGCCAATAAACCAAGAAGTAAAATACCAGCCTGTCCATATAAAAAAGCCCTTAGCATGAAATAGCACAGTGTCCCTTAATACCCTTTTTGGCAGAGCGGGTCACAAATATCTTAGTTAATTTGGGGGCACAATTGTAGGGCCTACCAGTACGGGTACTGTTACACTGACAGGAGTGATTCATGATGCCGATGTTAGACGATTCAAATTAACAGAAGTACATGTACGCACAGCATTGTGGGAAAAGGCTGGCGTTGTGCCATTCCGTTGCACAGATGTACACGTACAGTACTGCAGCAGTCACACATGCCGTAGCTCTACATGTAAATAAATGTGCATGGTCTACTGTCCGTTGCCCATCACATCTTGCAACTCTCCCTACTTGTCATTACATGGGATGCCGTGATCACTCAAACATTTTATCTGTTTGATTTACAATGATTTCATGCACTGGATTGCTGCCATCATCAAATCTCCCAGCTGGTCACAATGTCATACTAGTAATTGATGTTGACCTTCGAGCGCTGATGAAACAGACTCGTAAAAGTTGGAGGTGCGCCTTATTGAAAATCACTCCTATCGGTAAAACTTTCAATCCAGATTTCCCTGCCCTGATGAGTTTAGCATGTCTTTTGATTCCTAGCTCGCCGGTTGGTACATGTAGTCTTTTCCTGCATTCATCAAAGCCATGACTTCATAGTTCCTAGGCACATCTGCGAGTATTTCTGCCAAGGTGCATGTTGACAATCCGTGCACTGAGAAACCAAATGTCAAATGGCCGGATCTGATCTGTAATTGTATACTGGACGGCAGACCGAGGACACTAACGTGATCATTGTGGATTGTTCCCGAGGGCTTTAATGACATGAGGCTTTATGTGGGTCTGGAATTTTCTGATCAATATCTTTTGATGAGGAACATACAAACCAGTAGCTGGAATGTGTAAGTGAGAATATCTATCTCAAGATGTACTTTGCATCAGGAAGACACTTATAATAACAGGTATTGCCCTAACCCCCACGTACCATGAATGAACATTAATTATAACACAATATGTACAATGTAGCTCCATGACAACACTGTATACTCAGTGTTTTTCCAAGAGCTTTGTCCAGGAGTCTGTGGGTTCGAGTCCCACCCGAGTAAGCTTGTGAATTTTTTTTTTTAATATACTGGTCACTGCCGGTACGTGCGCATACAAGTACATCTTTTAAAACCACATGTAGTTTACAGGATGAACCGGGAGGTAAAGGAAGGGATTATTTCGGCACACTATTTTACTATTGTTTTGACTAATATTAGGCGTGGCGATGTCTCATAAGACTGTCTAGAGCCGTTTTTACTGGTTTTTTGGTTTTTTTGGAGTGTAGTAATACGTTTTTGAGGGTATTTTATGATGTAAATATTGGTTTTATGGACATTATTTATATTTTTATTTTGACAGTTTTGTGTGTCTGGTTAGATTTGAATTTTAATGTTTGATAATTTTGAATTGTTTATAGTTTGTGTTGCTGTTTAAAAGGACTTTTGATGTATGTTGTTTTATTCTTTAATTAATGTAAATTGTAATGAATTCAACCTATTTTAAATGGTTGCCAATAAATTATCCTCACCCAAGTGTCACACAACCCACAGACTTTGTGCACATACCGTACATGTATGATACGACAATTTGTACTGCTCCAGCTACATGTAACGGTATCTAACAATAGTATAAATCACTGTGTGATATGATCAACAATGTGTCTAAACCCTCTCAGCCCAGTAAATTTGAAAAATCACTCGGGTTTTAAAACCACAGCAGTTTAGATTTCCCCTACATGTACATGTACCTATCACACCACTGCCTGTTGTCAGTGCAGACAGGCCCGTAAGAAACCTGCGTTCAATATTTCACTGTGCAGGATTCTCTTTGCACTCGTATGCATACACGTAAGCATGATTTAACCGGTTGTGTGTTGGGAGAGGCGGACTGTGATTTTGATACACTTTAATTTTGGGTGCAGATGCAGTGTTCTCCGTCACGTTAATTTCCCTAGAGGACACATCTGTTATCAGAAGGCAAGTGTATGCACGGATGACTGCCAAATACAAACAAGGATCGACAAAGAGATCAAAAGAGGTAGCTTAAGAAATGAAGCCTGATGATGTTTTTTAAAATTGCAGATTACGGAGAGATGTGACCCAAAATGGGTTTACAGAGAGAAAGTGACCCTAAATGCGATAAGATTCCGAAAATTCCTTTTTTACAGTGTTCTTGTACTAAAACAGCACGGTTGTCCTGCAGCGTTACTAGGGCTCTTCCAAGTATTTAACTTTTGGGAACCCCTTTTATACCACATCAAATACATGACGTATTCCCCACTTTTACTATGCAACCTACACGGACCTAACCTCTCCTTGACACCTTAAAACGTACTGTAAAGACACCATTCCTTTCGGAAGTTCAATTTCATCACGTACTTCATCATTCAGCGAAGGACCTCAGTACAGATTTTCCCACCTGCTCACAGCCAAATATAGCCTCGGCTACTGAGGTAATATTATGTCTTACGATGAACACAAGCACACATAAAAATCTGACCCTTTACCCTCAACAAATTTACATCGTGGTCATGAGTGAATAATGCGTAAAAATCAAGAAAACTTCCCTGACGAACCGCTTGCATCGCTTTTCCCCCTTGTCACCCTCGGGCTACGGATGACACCAACCAAATTTGACCAACCGAACGTGCGCCGACTCGAACAAAGGACTCTTTTCATCCTTCCCATACCACTGCCAAATGTTCAATGGCTAATATGGACAAGCAGTTTTCTCCAAGCTCTAAATCTCATACTTGGTGGGGGCTGATACAAATATTTAAAGGGAGATGTCGCTTAGGTATTAGGGCCCACTTCTAACCCTCCCCCATTGGAACACACCAACATGTGCATTTCTGGGCATGGGCAGTGACATTTTTTGTCCTCTGTAAAAACTATAAGCAATTTTAGACACCTGTGGACAGCCCTTTTTTTGTCAAGATGCCGGTAATATGATGTGTCAAATGAAATATTCCAGAATGTATGTATGTAAATGTTTCCATGATACGAGACAAGCAGAACCCGGTTAGTCACGAAGGTAAAAATAGGGAGTCAGGTTGGCAAGGTAGTTCTTTCCTCGCCTTCCACCTATGTGGTCCCGGGTTCGATTCCCGGCCCGGTCCACATGTGGATCGGGTTTTCAGTCCCTACCTGACCCTGTGGGTTTTATCGAGAATACTCCTCTGGGGTTTTCCTCCCACCTCTAAAGCTGTAACTGCTTCTTACTGTCTCCCCTTTACTGGAGTTGGTGAATGTGGGTCGTTTGGTGGCTGCGCGAGGCGCCCTTGTACCGGTATGCCATCGGCTCAACCATGTTTAAATGTATTCATTGTTCCACGCTTAATGTCTTCATCGTACAGTGAATTTGAACATTTATAAATGAATAAAGTATTAGTATTATTATTATTGGTAGTAGTAGTAGTAGTAAATATAACTGGGTAAATAAAAAACGACATCCGTCATGCAAAGCCAAATCAGTATCACTGGCCTCCAGGCTACTATGTACTGTACTTGTACTGGGATATGTACCGGTAGGTTGGCGAACACTAGAAAAGGTGATTGTGATTACATGACAAGCAATGAAAAGTAACAAAATGTCTCAGCAAATAAATATACAAAAGCACAGGAACATCTTACTTATTTTCTGTTCACTGCGTACATTTACGGTAGTTTTTGCCTCGTTACATGTACGGGCATTTTCTTTTATGGATTACGGAAATTTTCTGACTTCTGTAGTCCTGTTATTTTGTTTCTACTCCTTTCAAGCTATTAAATTTCTCATTAACAGTGATGCCACTTTTCAAATGAGTACAAGTTCTTCTTTGGGCAGTCCATGACTTGCATGACCCATGACCTTAACACTAAGCAAAAGTGTGGCAAACAAATCATAAATATTACATTTGGCGTGCAATCATTGAAAATGGAACTAACTAGCCTCCCAGAACAAAATAGCTTTGCAGGAAACTAGCAAGCAGGATTTACATGCACATGCAAGTAGGAAATATTTTGGGGTTGGATTAATTTGGAAGAGATGCATAATTGAGTACAGAGAACAGACTAAACCAATGTAAATCCGGATAAACAGGGCTTTGTGGAACTTACTGTAATCATGGCCTTTCCTGCAGGTTTGCCGTTATTATATAGAAGCGGTTTTTCTAACTTTTTGCTGGAAACAATCTGCAACCAAAACAAAGCAACCAATTGTGACATGACCAATTGTAGGAATTATTATAATTACTGACATCATTCAGGTCATGAATTGTGATTAAATGATGATTAAATTTAGTGTTTGTACGACGGGTCATACATGTACAAGTAAGTACTGTGCAGGTATCGGTACATGTACTCATATATCCAATATGCTCTGTATACATGTACACTGCACCCATGTACCATACAAGACTTACACCCTGGCCAAGTTTTGTTTGGTGACCACAATAAACCCCCAGATTGCACCCACAGTTAACAGGGGCTCATTTAATTCAGATCAGTTTAAGACAAAGACAAAGTGCAAAGTGGTGTAAACTGTTTGTAAGATATTGGCTAGATCTGTCAACCCCCCACTAAATTGAAAACGACTCCCCCCAGGCAGAGACAAAGTGCGATGGCTCCTTCACCTCTTCCCAAGGAAGAAGAAAGAAATGATAAGAAATGAATCAGGAGACAAGAATAAACAATTAACTCTCGTCAAGTGCGATTTCCTTTTGAGCCGGTTAGGCCAAGCGAATCAAGATTATGACGCAGACTTGATAGCCCCGAGCGGTCGCAGGAGCCCGATGAATTTACAGCCCCCCCAACCGACGTAACCTTGGATCAATAGAATGCCATTATTACAACTTCCCCCCCCTCCCTGGCAAAGCCTCCAGGAGAGAGTGGTATTTCCACACACAGCACCACTCAACTAATACTAATGCACACAGCAAGCACATGTCCCTTTCATGTCTACCTTGCTGCTACCGTAGTTCTGGGTTAAAGCATTTTGATTTTAATCCCTTTTAACCCCCTCCGGGATTCTGGTTGTCTATTCAGGACAGAGGCACACGTCTATACAAGCGGGCATCCTTCTGTACACGCCACAATAATTGGATTTCCCAAGAATCACTGAATGAATTGCTGTCAAAAATTTATTCATGCCGCACAAGTTATGACTGTGTACTACATGTGCAATGTACATATACAAGTACGTGTACAATGTCATCCTACCGGTATGCTCCTCCACATATTTTGATCCCGTGATATAGCTGCATACAGGCATTCAACGCTCTTTAGAATCAGAATTTTGTCTTGTGATTCGCATGATTCTGAAACCAGCTTCACTGGAACACACAGAAATATGCCACTAGTATTTTGCACACACGTCATAATCTTTCCAACTCTGTGTACCCTCCAGAATGACTCCTACAAAGAACACGCCGCTCATTACAGGTAAAAAAAAAAAGACTGTGGAAAGTGGAATTAAATTCTCAGCTCTTTTATCAATGAACAGCCCCTGGAAGATTGATTAGTACCAGGGATGAGTACCGGTCCCTCAGGCACAGCCAGCATTCTGTGAAGGCTGTATTCTTGTCCTTAAAGTGTCATCTCTCCAAGTTGCACACCGTGTAATGAGTGGTCGAACAGTAAACAAATTGACGTGCATCTAAAGACAACGCACAGATACGGATCCCAATGCACTCAGAAAAATATTTGACTGCACTTTGATAAAATCTAAATAAGAAAATTATCACAACTACCAATAGCACTCGTCTTTAACATAAAAAAAACCAGTAACACGGAATGTCTTCATCTGTAATAATCCAGCAGGTTTTTTTCTCATTTCAACACTCTGTAGGTTGGAATTGAAATTGATGTTTATATTATTATTATGTTTATATTTATGTTATAATTATTGCCCACTTGCTGCTGACGCATTTCCTTTAAAAATTGTTCTTCACACTCTCTTTCAACTGTCACTAATAACTCTGTAGAAGGAAACTATGACCCTTCCATCAAATTAACTGAAAAGTCCAGACAGTAGGGAGCTACAATTTTGGATAATTTACAATTTTTTGTTAAGAAAAACTCTGCAATTTTAAACTACAGAACTAAGACCACGTCTGTATCAACTGGCCCTGGAAAGGTGTAACACAAGAGAAAAAGTCGTAGCCGCTGGCCAGTGGCTTTCATGGATACTGGCATTAATTTCAGCATTATGCTTCCAGATATGCCCTACAAGTAAGTCCTCAAGAAATGGACCAAGTGAGGAAATGTCTGAACACGGATGGGGATCTCTTCAAGCTCTATAAATACAACAATACTGGTACATACCATTCCCAGAGTGCCCTGGACAGCACCCAAGAAGTCATCATCCGTCAGAGTTTTGCTCTTGTTGTCAATATCATAGACGCCGATGCGGACCTTCTGGACCTCCTCGAAGCAGTAATCCATGGTGATGCCCTTAGTGAAGGTGGGATTCAGGTTGTTCTTGACTTGCTCTGTCCGGTCAACCTGGGAACAATTTTAGAGACTGGTAAATTGAAGGAAACCCTGCCCACACATAAGTACACTGTACATATGTACCGGTAACTCTAATCCTGCTTGATTCTCCCCCCCAAAAAAAACCCCAGAGATACGGGATTTCTACGGTATGTGAGAAAAGTAGAGCCCAGCCATTGTTACTTCACAAAGGGCTCTCCAATTTTACTGAGCTCCACGGAATACGCGATTTCTTAAAGACAGTTGTGCGATGCAACTTGCTTGTGTGAATGCCTTGAGCATAGGAATTTTAATACATGCATGTGGTACCAATATGCTTGTAACTCATGTACATGTACATGTAAGGTTTTAAATAATTGGACCGGCCAGCCAACCCTGGCAAGCTCGGTGGTCGAGTGGTTGAGACATCTGCACTAGTAAGCAGGAGGTCATGGAATCGAGTCCTACCCGAGTAAGCCTGTGAATTTTTGAGTATACCCATATACATGCAAATATATAAGTTGGTTAAGGGCAAAACCTGTAATTAAAATTAACATCTCCCCGGTGCACAGTATCGGTACATGTATCGGCACATGTACATCTTGACTACATGTACAGTACTTTTGAGTATTTGGATATCTCGGTATCAAAATCTGGCAGGTAAAAATCAGTTTGAGTCATACTGCGATAGGACTTTTTCACCCACGTGACCGGATTGCCCTGAATGTAAACATGATGTACATGTAAACAATACCACCACGTTTGGACCGCTGTGGCCATAGTGATATTCTTACGGGCAGCTTCAACCACATACAAACGCATGTGTGAACGCTGCATGCTTGACTAGTTTCTCTTGAATAAGTAG